TCTGAAAATTACACTATTTTGGGTATTGGAATAAGTGGTTGCTTAATGCTTGTGATTCCTCATATTCATTTTCACTTTGTTATTTGGGTTGTGGCATCTTTTATATATGCTTTGTCGCCTAGTTTTGCACTTGCATTATTTTATTCTTGATTTGGCCATAGTCGTAGTGTAAAGTTTTTCCATTTTAAGATGACAATGATGGTTGGAGGCCACTTTTAACTATTTGAATTGCATCAACCAGAAACGTTATTGATGGTCATTTTCTTAGCCCAAGCACAACATTATTAATCAGGGTCACACTACATCAAGTGCTCAAACCCCATCACTTTCTTTTCTTTCTTTTATCATAACATTTTGGCAAGAAAAATTAGACCTAACATAGCCCGGGATTAAATCAGTGAATAAAGGCCAACCTGTCACACATATACATCCAAAAATGAAAAAAGAAAGAACGAAGGACAATTCTTACAAATAAAAAGCGATTTAGAAGTGCACGAGTGAAAATGAATGATGCTTATAATTTTTAAATCATAGTAATATCCGATAGTTATTACTATGATTTAAAAATTATTCATCTAATTTTCTCCTATTGAACAATTTTAGTGTTACATATGATCGAGAAAATTATTTTTAAGTCAAAACCTAACAATTATTTCTTTTTCTTTAAAAGAAAGAAATTTATATTACTTTTAAGAAATGACAAATATAGAAAAATAGTTACATATACACTTATTTTTATAATGATACTCTAGTGTGGTCCCATCATAGAGTTTAATAAACCTCATGATGTTGTATCAATATTTCAAGGGAAAAGGGAGAGAGGAATGAATGAAGGAAGGAAGGAAGGAAGGAAGGAGAAGTGCAATTTGAAATCAAACTCTTTTCACTAACTTGGTTCTTAAATGTACACAAATTTTATTTAAGAAAAAAAAATTGGTATAGAAATTAAGAATTTGACTATATAATCAGATACTAATTAACCTTACAAATTATTGAGGAAAAGAGCAACATGTACAGCTACTGGTGGCATCTCAGTGTCAAGTTTGTTGGGTTGAAAGCAATGGGAGCCTTTGTACGTATATCTTTGCTTTAGGAATAGGATTGTACCCACTTTATCATAATTGAAATATCATATCATGTAATATATATATATATATATATATATATATATATTATCATCATGTTATTACAAGAGTTGTCACTATTGTAAAATTCTTGACACGTTTTAGCCAATTGAATTTGAGACACCATCATCGGTCTTTGTAAATTTTTGCTACATAAGTTAGATGTGTTTGTTTGAAGTATTGTTTTTGATATCTTAACATACTCATTTGCAAATCTATTAGTAAGATTTATGAACATGTGGCAGCAAATAATGGAATGGTGTCGGTAGAGCAAGAGTAAAGGGTCAAATTTCCCTTTTATCACAAACATTTTGGTATTCCACGTGCTCGAATTCTTGTGTTTTTCTTTGTTTAATTGAACTTGGACAAATATTCGGAGAAAGACCACGTTGTGCTTGCATGACCACTAAGTAGTGCTTCTCTTATTTTATCGTTTTATATTCGCCTTTTAAAGAATACATTATGATTTATGCATCACTTTTTTTTATGAGAGAAAGACATAATTAATTTCACACTTGTTTGATTATTAAATCGTCAATTTAACACTCGATCATGCAAAATTCTCAAGAAAGTCAAAAGACAAAGCATTTGGTACTCTTCCAAATCAAAATTAGATATATATATTTTCTATATAAGAACACGTATTAAGGTGGAAAAACGGATAATTTTACGCAACAAATTACAGGTTTTAAATATTTAGCTACGAACAAAGGATTCTGTAAGGAAGAAGTTGGACTGAGAATCACAAAACCATTTTTAAGTATAATTATTGAATTAGAAATAATTCTTTAATTTCCATGCATAAACACTCGTTTTAGATGGGGTTATATACTCTAAAATGATGGTCACATATAAAATTTACACTCTTTAAATATATGTTTTAAAAATAAATTAATCATATTCATCTTTTTCATATGTTTTTGACAAAAAAAAATTTCTCAGAAATAAACAGCTCGCAAAAATGTACTAGATCCATTATTTGTTTGTGTTTTAGGCAGTATATTCAAATTTTGGTCTGAAATGGCATAAAAACACTTTTATGTTGTTCTTTTGTGCTAAAATAACACATAAAAAATGTAACGAAATTAAAATTCACCCATTAGAAATAGAAATTTACCCATTTATCACGTTTCTATATGATATGCACGAACTTCTCATAAGCTTTTTCCTTATGTTGTATAGAAGTGCACCGTTGTCATCTATCTACAAAAAGATGTTGGCCCAATAGCGTTTCAAGAACACAATTGCAACTTCAGGCCCAAATGATGTTGGCCCAATAGAAAGGCTAAAGAGTTGCCACTTTTGTTCAAAGAAAAAAAGGCCCTGAGCCTGTTGAAAAAAATATACAACTCATCATTGTTAAGAACAACTTGGGCTATACCATGAAGATTTAATATATTGAGAAATAAAATTATCGACAAAAGGATGAAGTTCTGCAAAAAATTGGTAGTTTTCTTGGCCACATCAATCTCAGATTATTTGATAGCATTGGCAAAAGATCACGACGACTAGCAGATGCATGAAGATCACCAGAGGGAGTAAATTTAATAAATTTTAATTAATAAAGTATGCTGGAGAATGTATTATTAACCCTCTTTATGAAAAAATAGGTTTAGAAGATGGTAAGAAAGTTAAAGATAAAGTTGATAAAGAAAAAAGATGATAAGAAGAATGAATCTTTGAGGGTAGACAAAGATTTTGAAAAAATTAAATACATTTTGTTAAGTGTGCAAACTAATTAAGAATTAAGTATACCCAATGATATAATAATAAAATAATTAGTATTATCTTAAATTTGAAGAAAATTAAAACGTGATTATAAACGATTAGAGATAATTGACTATTAACTATTGTAAATTTTATATAGCCTTGTTGAAAGGATAATAGACCTAAAATTTTTATTGCAAAATACCTAAAATTTATTCGGTAACAAAGAATATATATTACAAATAATGTGTCAAAAATGTTAGTGGCATTGCTTTTTTAACAAATTTAGTCGTATTGCATTATATACAAACACACATTAATGGTACATCTTTTAACTTTACAAATTCTGAATGTATAAATATTTAAAAAATATTTTTTCTTATAGATTTAAATTAAAAAATTATTTAATGTTGTTGATTAAGATAATTTTTGTTTTACACTCTATTTTTTATGTGGAAAGATAAAAGGATGGAGTGAATAATAAATAAATATGATAATTGATACGATGTAATTAAAAAGTGAAGTAAAATAGAAATAAAAAAGCTACAAAATATATAAATATCATTGTTAAATTGACTATGTACTTAAGCATTCAACAAACTAATTCCTTTTATTAGGTTGACTGCATTTTAAAACCACTAAATGATATGTATTAATTGTTCAGTTTATAGATTTTTTAAATGATATTATTTAGCTACAATTTTTTATTCACTTTATTGCTTAAATACTATTTACTATTTTTGTTTCAAATATACTTATTATATTTAAATTATAAAAAAGCTATATTTTATATTACGTATTTCTAAAATTTAGTTAATGACTATATGATTCATTTCACACAAGCATAATATTATTGACCACCAACATTATTAAAGATACACAAGACATCGTGATTCTTTTATGGTTACACATCTCACACTAAGAATTGCATCACTATCTAAGAACAGGGATAAAACAAAAAAGGATCTTATAAAAAACAACAATGAACATTCTCAAATACACATTCTTGAGCATACATTAACTTGAAACTCAACGAAATCAATAAATAAGTTATTTACAAAGCTAAAACTTACATTGCGAAAATTAATTAATCAATATCCAGCTTGTAGATGGTGATTGGTTTCAAGGTAAATTTGGACATTAATAAAAAAAAATAGATTAAATAAAAAGAACTTAATTAATGTTTTGCGAATAGGTGCAAAGGACCTTTATTGACATAACCAACGCAACTATCAGGAGTTCCTATATGTGTGTGCATATTAAAGTTTGACGTTGATTTTGTTTAGAAAATATACATATGTGATATGAAGTCAAGTGAACTTTTCCCACTTTTTATTTTATTAAAAATGTTAATAATGTATTTTTTTTATACTCTAGTAATGTCTTCTTAACACATTATTCTTTTATATGTACTTTTTTTATCAAATAAAATTTACACCATGTTTATTAAATCTAAAACATTATCCATAAAAATGAGGACAAGCTTCTCTCATTCAGTAACCAAACATGTTGGTACCCCATGATTTAGCTCAGATGCTAGAAGTTTGCTCTTACAATTGAGTCATTTGGGATTATGGGTTTTGGATATCTAATTTTAGGCAGTGATGATGATAAGATCTTGTACATGAATTGACTCAACATTAAACATGTTCTGCATGATTGGGAAGAAAATATAGAACACTGAGATGATTATAAATCTATAATATGATTAAAATAAAAATGAGTGTATAAATTAATGCAGTCAATCTATAAAGACATTGGGCTTTAACCATAATTAAATGAATCCAAAGGATCAATCTTAATTACCCATTACCTGCCTATTTTTCTCTCTTACATTTTTTTTAACTAAAAGAAAAATATTTCAACGAAAACACAAAAGAAAACATTAAGTTAAATTGACATATCTGATAAAAGACGAGCAAAACCAGATTAAAAAAAGAGAACCAACCCCATGTCAATGTCAGAAACCTAGTATACAAAGATTCACTAATATACAACCAAAACAGAACAATAAGAGAAACATGTCACCTCCGCTTATCTAATCATGTCCAGCACATAAACCAATAAATAAAATTATAATAAAAATTCCTCAACCGAAAAGTTGCAATATTAATTTTTTTTAAAATGCTAATATGTTAGCATAGAAAATTGAAAACACCTTTTTTCTTTATCTGATTCTTTTCCTTTGTCCCTACCCTTCCACACACATTACAACCACCGCCAACTCCTTCTCCAACTTCAAACTAAAACCCTCTTTGATCTTTCTTTTGCAAATTTTTCTTTTTTCTCTTTAATAAAAATTTCTGACTCTACCCCACAACGCAGCTATCTTGAAACTTGAAAGTCAAGAAAGAATAACAAACGCAAAAGGCCAACAACACTTTCTCTGACACCCAAGCAGAGAAACCGAATTCCCACTTCACAAACACAAAAAAGGTTCAAACTTGACCCACCCCACATCAAAATAATTCCAATTTCTTATCTGGGTAATCTTCCTTCGATTGAGGAATGTCAATAAGAGCACACGGTGGCTCAAAGAGGCACCAGCAACTGCAAAACGCCATGCCGGTGCACCCAATTGAGGAACTTCCCTCTCCGTTCGGCGACCCGGCTGCGAATTTTTCCGAATCGGAGCTCCGAGAAACGGCCTATGAGATCCTCGTCGGGGCTTGCCGGAGTTCGGGGCCGAAGCCGTTGACGTTCATATCGCAGTCGGAGAGGGGGGATCGGGATCGGACTCCGGCGCCGGCGCCGTCGTTGCACAGGTCGCTGACTTCGACGGCGGCGAGCAAGGTGAAGAAGGCTTTGGGTCTCAAAACGACGTCGTCTAAGGGGAGCAAGCGCGCAACGACGACGGGGGAGTTGGTGAGAGTGCAGATGAAGATATCTGAGCAGAGTGATACCAGAATTAGAAGAGCACTTCTCAGAATTGCTGCTGGCCAGGTTTTACATTTTTGCACTTTTATTAATTAATTACAAAATTTAAAGAGTTATTAAAAATTAAATATTTGGTTTTTGTTTTTAATGTAAGAAATTAGAAAAGGGTGTGCGTGCGTGTTTGGGGGGGGGGGGGGGTTATTTGTTTTCAATTTTTATGTTTGGGACTCACCAATTGATTTTTGGTAAATTTTGTGCCTTACTTTTCCCCTTCAAGGTTTTACAGATGAGTGAATGACATTTTACTTCATTTGACTTCTTTTGACTAAAGGAGTGTGTTAGAATGGGATGGATTGTTCTACTTTACCCCTATAACTAATCATTGTGTGCTTTTTGGTAGCTTCGTAACTTGTGCTAAACTTGATGATTAAAACTTTCGTTGATTGCCTGTTATATAGTGAATACCATTCCATGTAGCATTGCTAAGTAACTTGTTCAATGACATTGCAAAGTGCTTATTGGTAAGTAGTGAATACCATTCAATGTAGCATCTTTCGATATATGTTGTGAGAATGGACAAGATGCACTGATATTGCTTGCAAGGTCTTGCACCTAATCACACTTGCTCCCAATGCGGAGGATTATACTAGGAAATCAGTAATGATGATCAAAGAGATTATGTGTGAATTGACACCAGTCATGAGGAACAAATGGTGATGTATTATTTCTTTTAATCATCTGGTATTGCACAAGCTGCAAGCTAACAACGGTTTGTTGTTGGGTTAGGAAGAATATTCCATCCAATGTTAATGGATTCGGTTACACAGAAGAGCTGAATGGGATGGAGTGTAATTTATGCAATATCAAGGGACATTAATGTAACTTACTATGCTGTAATATTGAAATTATTCAATATAAACATTATTGGGCCAGCATGGTTTCAGTCCATAGTTATTGAATGGGCCCAATTCAATCCATATGTGATTGGGCTGGACTATTTTTGGCCCTATGTCTACTTAATTGATACATCTGATACTTAATGAATGTGATCATGGTTTCAAATTGGTGATGGCAATATTGTGGTGGCATAATATTAGGTTGATATCCACTCAGCTGCAGTTTTTTTGTTTCAAAAAAAGAATTTAATAATTGTGAAGTTGAAAAATTTTGCGGCTGCAGTCCATGTTGCAGTGGCTGCAACACCTACAGTTGTAGTGATCAAACCATAATGCAATTACTAATGCAACCCCAACTACAATTTAAAACTATATAAAGACAGAGACAAGAAGCAATGAACATCATCTATCGTTGGTTGTATATAGTATTATTGTTTAGAATTGAGCATCTGTATTTCACTTTTGTTTATTACTTGTTTGTTGTAAGTGGGATGTATTTCCTGCCAGAAAAGGTTGAATTTCACTTTCTAAGTAGTTATGATTGAAACGTTGTTAACCAACTTGACATTTCAACGCATGCATTATTGTTCCTTAAATCTGTTTAATCACTAATGATAGCGTTCATGAAATAGCTTGGAAGACGCATGGAGTCGGTGGTTCTTCCACTGGAGCTGATACAACTGTTCAGGAGCTCAGATTTTCCCAGTCAACCAGAGTATGAGGCTTGGTTGAGGAGAAATTTGAAGGTTCTTGAGGCAGGGCTTCTCTTCTATCCTCACCTTCCGATAGATAAGACAGACACTTCTGCACAGCGCCTCCGGCGCATAATTCGTGGAGCCCTTGAAAAACCCATGGATATTGGAAAGAACAGTGAATCAATGCAAACCTTCCGGAGTGTTGTTATGTCTCTTGCATATAGATCATCTGATGGGTCTGTTTCTGAGACATGCCACTGGGCTGATGGGTATCCACTGAACCTCTGGATCTACCAAACTCTTTTAGAAGCTTGTTTTGATATTAATGCTGAATCTTCTGTGATTGAAGAGGTCGATGAGGTCTTAGAGCTCATTAAGAAGACCTGGGTTATGCTTGGAATTAATGATATGTTGCATAATATTTGTTTCTCATGGGTCTTATTTCATCGTTATGTGGTCACTGGCCAAGTGGACTATGATCTACTGTTTGCATCAAGTAATCTCCTAGCCGAAGTTGAGAAAGATAATGAGGCCACAAAAGATCCTTTATACTCAAGAATTTTGAGCTCCACTTTGAGTTCGGTACTAAGCTGGGCAGAGAAAAGGCTCCTTGCGTATCATGATACTTTCCATAGTGGTAATATTGAATCATTGGAAAGCATTGTTTCTGTTGCTGCATTATCAGCAAAGATATTAGATGAAGATATCTCTCATGAGTATAATTGGAAGAAGAAAGAAGCTGACGCAGCTTACTCTAGCGTTGATAATTATATTAGATCATCATTGCGTGCTGTTTTCACTCAGGCAAGTTCTACCATTCAAGCTTCCTAAATATGAATACTCTCTTTCAGATGGCGCACACATGATAAATTATGACATATTTGTATGTGGTATACTACTATGGTACTTGAGTTTTCCTTTATGTTTAGATATTTGCTATTAACTCTTTCATGCATTACTGGAGCATAAAACTCATGTCAACCACTTCTTTAATGCGCAAGGATAATATATAAAGCTAAAACTTCTTTCTGGTCCTGCTTTGCTTTATGCGTCAACATTCTCATATTGGGTTTTCTCATTTGAATACTTCATTTTATGAAGCTAATTACCTAATTTTGGTGCTGTCAGCTTGTCTTAACTCTTTTTAATCTCCTTTAAGGCAGAAATTGGAGAAACTGGACCCAAGCAAGCATCCATCTAGAAAACAGAATAAAGCCTTTCCCATTCTTTCTGTCCTTGCTCGAGATATAACCGAACTGGCTTTTAACGAGAAAGCAATATTTAGTCCCAAACTGAAGAGATGGCATCCTCATGCCGCAGGTGTTGCCGTTGCTACCCTTCATGTTTGTTATGGAAATGAGTTGAAGAAGTATGTTAAGAGTATTAATGAGTTGACACCCGATGCTATAGAAGTTCTGATGGCTGCCGACAGATTGGAGAAAGATCTGGTGCAGATAGCAGTGGAAGATTCTGTTGACAGTGAAGATGGTGGAAAATCCATTATAAGGGAGATGCAACCTTATGAGGCTGAAGCTGTAATTGCTAGTCTGGTTAAGTCATGGATAGAGATCAGAGTGGATAGACTGAGAGAATGGGTTGACAGAAATTTGAATCAAGAGGTATGCCAAATCTCGATGCCCATAAATTTATAATCTAATCAAGTTGACATAGTATTTTTTTATTAAACAAATATTTTATATTTATTTTTTATTTTTTACAAGGTTTTTTTATAAGATATTGAGATACTACCATTGTTATTACTACAAACGATCATGGTTGTTTGCTAATTTAAAAGATTTAATATAATTCTAACTTCACCATCCTCTCAATATAGGTATGGAATCCACAGGCAAATAAAGAGGGCTTTGCTCCTTCTGCCGTGGAAGTTCTACGGATCATAGATGACACTCTGGAGGCTTTCTTTCTATTGCCTATACCCATGCATGTAGTTTTGTTACCTGAGTTGATGTATGGTCTTGACAAATCTCTCCAACAATACATCTTGAAGGCCAAATCTGGCTGTGGTATATGTTTACTGCATAGCATTTTTCTCTTACCAAACTGAATTTGTCAATCTCTATGTGACCGGGTTTTCTCTTTTTTATGATTCGCAGGGAACAGTAATACTTTCATCCCAGCTATGCCTGTGTTGACTAGGTGTTCAACAAAATCAAAGTTTAATGGTGTATTTCGGAAAAAAGAAAAGTCACAAATGATTCAGAGGAGGAAAGCCCATGTGGGAACCACAAATGGTGATAACTCGATTGATATACCCCAGATGTGTGTTCGCGTCAATACTATGCAACGAATTCGAATGGAGGTAGGGGTTTTGGAAAAGAGGATAGTTGCCAATCTCAGCAGTTCTAAATCTGCCTACGAGGATGATATAGCAAATGGGGCAAGCTTGAAGTTCAAGCTTTCTGCATCTGCTGCTGTGGAAGGTATCCATCAACTCTGCGAGTGTATAGCATACAAAATCATTTTCCACAATCTATGTCATGTTCTTTCGGATGGCCTCTATGTTGGAGAAGTTTCATCCACCAGGATTGAGTCTTTCATTCAGGAGCTTGAGCAATACTTGGAGGTTATATCATCAACAGTGCACGATAAAGTTAGAACACGTGTGATTGTTGAAGTAATGCAAGCTTCTTTTGAAGGGTTCTTGTTGGTCTTGTTAGCTGGAGGTCCGTCTCGTGCATTCTCTCGGCAAGATTCTGTTATTGTAGAGGAAGATTTCAAGTTTCTGACCGACTTATTCTGGTCCAATGGAGATGGGTTGCCACCTGAATTGATAGAAAAGCATTCTGCCACTGTCAGAAGTGTACTTCCTTTGTTTCATGCGGATACTGATCACATAATTCAGCAATTCAATCAACTTACTGTGGACATGTATGGTTCTACAGCCAAATCCCGGCTTCCATTACCTCCTACAGCTGATCAATGGAGCCCAAGAGAACCAAACACACTTCTGAGAGTTTTGTGTTATAGGAATGATGAAGCGGCTGCCAAGTTTCTTAAGAAGAATTACAACTTGCCCAAGAAGGTCTAACAGTTGATAAGTAACTCCTCTGATATGCTACGCCTTCCCATCTCATAAGTTTTTATTGGGTCATTTTTTGTGTTTTGATTCTACGGCTGGTTTCTGAGGACATGTTTTAGGTAGGTGGGATGTATTATACCCTTGCCGATTAACCTTAGGAAATATGGTGCTTTTTCATCAATAATGCCCGATAGTATACTTTGTACAGGTGTGATTCTTCGGCTTGCTAATTTGTTCGCTTATTTTCAGCTCGTGTCAAAATGCAATTACTAATAGCATGTTAATACAGAGAAATATTCAAAATTAGTTATTATTTGTTTTATAATTTCACGATGAATGGTCTATTTAATTGTTAGCACTGTCATTCTGTCCCCACAAACTACTTGAGCTTGATCTTGTAAAAGAAATGAAATTATTTATTTGTGCAACTTTGTTAATCTTATGGAACCACTTGAATAAATAATCCATTTAAAGGCTAAGTAGTTTATTCTATTTACAGCGTGAAAAACCAATTATATATGCAGAAATGTTAAAAATATGCAAGTAATAAATTATTATTATTTTCAAAAAAGTTGCTCTAAATTACCATGAATATTCCTCAGGTAGACAGCTAATGATATCCTACGGTAGAGAACTCGATATCGTTTGGCCTGATTTCTTTAGAATTTATTTATTTTAAGTCAAATAAGACCCTTAAATTAAAAATTTTGTATTCTAACTGTTTACACATTAGTTATTTTTTTAAGTTAAAATATTTAAATAATGTTTGATTTGACATAAAAAAATTAAACCTCCAAGTACTTGAAAATAACTTTTTGAAAAAAAAATTATAAACTTTAGAGTTATTTAAATAAAAATTAAAAAACCTTTCAAAAGTTTTTCTAAAACCATTTATTTGATCCAATTTCTTAGTTAAAGTTAGACGCATACAAGAAGTTAAATCAAACACTCGTTCTCAAAATGCCCTCCACAAAATAACAAAGGCACCCCATACAAGGGCAGAAAGTGCTTAAGCCTTGCAGCAAACACAGGAGACATTGAGGCAACATGAAATTAAGAGCAACAGCTAAAACATGCAAGCAAAATTGGTGTTTATAAACTTTTGAAGAGGGAAAATACTTACCGTTAATCCTTCAAGGACTGCAGCAACTACGTTCTCTTGAAAATCAGAACGGCTTATTTTAAAATTAAGTAAACTTAATTTTGAACTGTTGGCGTAATTAGAATATATATATATATATATATATATATGCCGTATAAGAAATACATTCTTATACGATCCTAAAAATGCAATCTTAACCAAATTTGTCAGAAAATATATAATTCCAAAATTTTCTTTTGATCATTCAATAATCGAGAAACTAATAATGCCGGCAAAATCTCTTCATGGCCCCTGTATTAGTTGCATACACGTATACATGAAACGCATAATAAGAAATATGGTTACCTACTTAAAGAAATGAAAAAACTAAACTAAAAAGGGTTCCTTTTTAGTTCTTTTCTTTTCGAGGTGGCTTTTGAGCTTGCTTTCTGCGAAACATGAGAACAAAAGACCAATCATAGTTAGGTCAAGTGATCTCCGATAAAATATTAAGAAGAAATAAGGCCATATAAAACAATTAACTACGTACCGATTTTGATTTTTTAATCTTTCCTCGAATCCTGTTCTTTGGGGGTTTCAACTTGTAAATCCGAACCATCCAATGGTGAGTTGTAAACACCTGAATGCATTAAAAGCCGTGACTTACATCAGAAGACCATAGTAGTTAACGCAATTTATCTGAACTAAGTTTGGGACCATATATTGATGACAAAAAAGAGTCAACTATAAGTAAACTAAAAATGAGATTATGTAAGCATTAGCATATAATGGTATCCACCAAGGAACAACACAGAACAACTATCCGAACATAGATTTACAGTAACAGTTAACAAATATAGGCCATTCAAAACCATGAAATATTCAAGGATATCATACCGTACTGGTTATCCACCCATGGTATTGTCAATAAAATAACATGGTTAGTTTGGCAAGTAATTCATCATGCCATACACTGAAATTAATTCCAGGAACATAATATATGACGTACACAACAAAGTTCCTGACAGATTTAGCACAGGACACAATTCAACAGAAACAATCTTACCTCCTCAAAATGAGTAAGTTTGAAATATTTCTTCCCAATTTCTGTTCGCCTCACTCTGTCAAAAGCTTTACCGTCTGTCTCCACAAATCTGGAGCAATAGCAGGGTAAGTAGTAGTGTAACAGTTAAAAACAGTTTTTCAAAGAACAAATTTTACAGCAAGACTGACCTGTAATATGAAAGTTTATACATGAGGCAGTTTAGCATTGTTGGGGTGGCCATAGAATCAATCCGATATTGACCGTCCCTCTTTTGAACAAGGGTAAATAAAATAAAAAAGAAACAAGAAAAAAAAGAAGACAGGTTAACACTCCTCGATGGCTGAAAGGTAGAGTATCAACTGTTTTCCAAAATAAAATATCAATGCTTTCATATTTATGTAACTTACTAAATAATCTGGTTCTTTTATGTGAGGGAATACACCCCCTCCAATACGAACCATCCACAGGAACTTGTTAATATCATCACTGGGATAGCCAACCAGTCCTGTTTAACAATCATAGCAAAAAATCAGACAAAGGTGACTTAAATAATCTCAATAAAGACAAAGAAGCTGACCTCCAAAGACAATGAGAACATATTTGACATCCAAGGAGTGGAAAATTTCCCAAGCTGCCTTCTCTGGGGAAGACATGGCAGTGCCAACGGTCGCAATATGTGTGTTATTCCAGGTATTATTATCAACAATGACAGTTCGGTTAGCCATGGCAGTTGTTTGGTATCCATAATCCCACCAAGATGCCACCTAGAAGAAATTTTACAAGCTTCAATTTCTCTTGATGTCAATAATGCATTTTAACCAACATTTACTTTCTCTTAATTTGGCATAGGTAAGTAATGTCAGGGGAAAAACAATTTAGGAACTTAAGCCATTAAATTTATAATTTATAAACATCATCCTCTAGAGTGGTTGATTAGATCAATATCTGGTTAGTGCATTAACCATCATCTGTCATTTGTCCATTTAAATTTTATGCTGCAGAAAATTGATTTAAACTTTAAAACATAATATAAATTTCAACAATTAGTATGAAACAAGGGAAACCATGCAAGCTAACCATCACAATTTTTTCTAGACAATCTTTTTTGGAAAGAATATTGATCATTAGCAACTTTTGACCTTGTATGAAGAAAAGGCCAAGATTGTTTATTCCAAAAAGTTTGTAACATGGTAAATGTATACAAGCACCCACAAACATTTGAGCAGAAGAAAGGAAATCCCATAAAACTTACTTTATCATCTACTTCTGTATTATGACTCAGCCAAGCATAAGCCTCTCTAAAATCATCGAAAACATGAAGTCCATCGTGCGAATGTGATGTTAGAACAATAGAAGGGGCTGAATAAGCCTCTGCTGCTGCCCAGACACTATGAACCTACAAGAGAGATCAAGCTAGTGAGGCACTTAGTTTGTTATAACATATAAAGTAGCATGTCATAAGCATACTAAAAATTCATTAAAAGAAGACATCATACTTCTAATTGAGTATTAACCAGAAGAATCCTACAATTTTTAACTAGAAAGAGATTAAGGGTTCATTTAAAAGAAATAAATTGCAAAAATAATACTTGAGAAATATATTATTAACTAAAAAGGAAGAAACAAATTGTGAACTCCTAGTGGAGATACACATAAAACTTGTATCGAACAAATAATCTACCTAATATAATTGGTAGATAAACTAAAAGATGTGATGGTTCAAAAATGTAGGAAACTTTATATGAAAGAAATCATGCTTATGAAATTACCACATAGAAGGCACCTAACAACACAAGTAAGAGAATAGCAATGATGGATGTTTCCAGAGGTAAAACTAAAAGCCTTTTCTTAATTTGTGACTTGCTAAGAGGCTTTTCCACAGGCTCCTTTTCCTTCTTCTTGCCCTTCTTTGAGGTCCGTTCCTTTGATGTATCCTCACTTTTATCAGTCTTCACCGAATCATGTGTCACAACACTATCAGAACTGGCATCCCGTTCCTTGAAAACAAAGCACAATTTGAACAAGGTAAACTCATAAAGTGACCAGAAGAACATAAAGGAATCCCAAAACTGGCAACAATTAAACAAATGCTTACATCAGCATGAGAATGATCTGATAGGCTGGGTAACTGACACTTTATAGATCTTGTGAAAACATCAAAAGCTTGAGAAAGAGCAATCCCAGACAAGATACATGCCGCTGGAGCAAGTACGAGCATCAGGCGAACCTGATATTTGACAAGGCTATGTCTTCAAATAAATAATGAAAATGCAATAAGAAGAAAAACTGCAGCCCAATATTATTCTTACCATGACTCCAGAAAAGTATACTGATGTAACAATATAAAGTACCACAAAAGAGCTTGCATCAGACAGGGGCAAAAAGCATGCCTACAACAGGAAAGCACCAATACAATTTAGTTTATAAAGAATACTAAAAGAAAATTAAACAAAGATTTTTTTTTTTCATATGTGAAAACAGAACTCACAATAATGCCTGCTGGAACCAAGAATGCCAGGACATTGATGTCCATAAAATAAGAAGGCCAAGTTGGTGGCTGATGTTCACTAACGCTAGCAATGATTGGTATATACTTGCTTGCATAAGTACTACAACAACAGAAACAATTGAAGTACTTGGATTTGAGCCAATCATAAGAAGCAAATATTTTGTAAAATGGCAAATAAAGGTAAAAAAGGGAAATTCTACTTTTGTAATTTTCAGCCATTAGCCTGGGTCAAGGGAATTATCCCTGGCTGGTAGCAATATTACTCTTACTCTCTCTGTAATTCAGTTCAGCTTTCATCAATAAATTCTACTTTTTACAGATAGATACTCTTTCCTATCAGTGCCACAAATGATTTTATTCGTTTCTTTTTAAGAATTTGAATGATAAAAAAGGTTGCAAACACAGCACTTACGGATCTAGTAAACTTAAACTTCTTCCACTCCATCCCTTTGTTGGGCTTGAAGCTACCAGTGCTATAAGTACAGCTATCATTGCACAACACACTGCCCTGCAAAACACACAAGAGAAAATGCAGAGACTACTTTAATTTTCCACCCATGATGTTTTGAATGGTCAAATAAGCCAATCAAAGAGACACCCACAGGCCAACAGAAATAACTAGTGCCATGGCTACTTTGAACATTTTTGGGGAAAGAATGCCTTTAACATAGGACACAAGAGCCACCACATGGATGATAATGAAAACCTGCACAAGAAAAAGAGAAAAATAAGGTAGGTTTCAAAAACTCTAATAAGAAACATTAGTTGGATATAAAGAGAAGGAAAAAAAGGGGGGGCGGGTATTGTGATAAAACAATTCCACTGGAAAGTTAGACAAACACATTTTTGGTCACTTATCTTTGAGGCAAGTTCAACTAAATCCAAAGACTAGGGGAGAACTCACCAGAAATGATGCAAAATGCTCTGATGTCATTACGGCATTAAACCCAACCACAGGCACCAAGGAGGCCAATAGTGTGCCCAGTATAACCTGGATTGAGAAAATCATTATGAGAACCAGGAACAAGATGAGATTTCTAAATATACACTCCATACAACAAACACCAATGGCTTGTAATTGTAAGCAAAAGTGTGATAAAATAGTAAATATGTGATCCAAAATGAATAACAGATTCTCTAATCAAGCAAAATGCAGAGTTTAAACAAATTGAATTCTTCATCTAGATGTTGAAAAAAGCAAGTTAAACCTCAGTGTAGAACACTTTATCTACATGTCCAAAAACTCCCTCAAATATTGTCCAAATTACAGCTTATTGTATCAAGCAAAAAGTAAAAGTAATGTAATGTACTAGATGCATTTCAACTTTCCAATTGAAAAGGGTAGAAGTGTTCACTTAAACTCTTAAACATAATGGAATGGCTGAGACAGATACTTACAAGAGGTGCATATGCAATGTACAGTTGAGAAGAATAGCGACCAGTAGTTATGCACAAGAGTACATGCATTGGAATAAGGTTAATGATAAAAGTGTACCCTCCCCATGAGCAAACCTGAAAGATAAGAATAGCAAATAACATAAATAAGAGAAGGCAGAGTCAAAGATAACCAAGATAAATAGTATCATAAACAACTTACCATGTAAAAGTATGCTATGGAATTCAAAGTGGCATAAAAGAGGGACCCGGTATTCAGTGTCTACAAGACATGCAAATCAAGTCAGAAACTTAATAGAGAATAAGGAAAAGCCCAAGTGTTTTCTATCCTCAGAGGCTACAGAACTGACAGTTCATACCGAACACTCAAATCACACATTATCAGATCACAATGATTATAATGAAATCTAATAATACCATGCAAATTTTAAGAGACCAATAACATTATACAATGCCATTCAATATAAAGTAAAGTTGCTTGCTTTTGAAGAGCACCTTAATATAGAGATAGAAAGTAAAGATCAAAGCAAATATAGCAACGGCTTCATTATCATAACTGCCAGCCACTGATCGAGATATATATGAGGGGACCTGCATGCACAAAATTATTCCAAATCAATTACATGTAAGAGAGGAGTCGGGGATCAGCAACCACAACACATTAGAAAAGAGTATCCATTAATTACCAATAACCATCATCAGTTTAGAAATATACATATCAACATGCATGGTTATTATTCAACCAGCATCCATCACTTTTAATGAACATTGATTAGTCAATCATTTAAATATAGGATGCTGAATGAATGAGCCAATAATTTTCATATTTGCAACCATAAATGAAATGTTTATAATCAGCAGGAAAATTTGAAGATAATCTAATTTTGCAAAGCCTTTTGAGAAATTCACCATAGCCAGAAGAACTGCTGCTGTCAAGCCAGCTCCCACACCCTTAACCTCCTACAAAAGGAAGAAGCTGAAGCAATTTAGCAAGCATGGAAATAACAGCAAAATAATACATGTCGCAATGCTAGCATAGACTAACCTTTGTCAGAAGATAAGTTGCCCATGAAGCAAAGGCTGAGAATATAGGTGCAGTAAACACACACACAGTTTCAACTGAGAGAGGGATGTTTAGGGAATTCAGTATCCTGACACCATAAGGGAACAGTCCAAAAATATCAACCACCTTAGATAAACTTTGAAACAATTGCTTGCATGGAAAATTAACATTTGAATCTAATCAATATAAAAGTGACAATTAAATGACAACCAACAACTCGTGATGTGTATTTTCAAATACCTACCACCATAAGGTGCCTGCTGTCAAGGTCAAACCAGGATAGACAGTCCCACCAATTACACGACCAAGTGGATACCTTAAAATGGAAAGGTAACGTATACATTAAATCCAGAAACATCTAACAATGACCTGATTAAACTACATATGCACAGAGGAATAACTGTTTACAGACCATTAACTTACCAAGTTCGGTCATCAAACCAATTCCAAAAATCATATATCCCATTCTTTGTCAAAAACTGAAACCAACAAATATGTATGTCATCTTATTGTAAAAATCTTTATTGCATTGAAAATCTGAGATTAACAAAGTCAAGTTGCACAAATGTACACACGAGTAAATTTCAATTTTCTATATCTATTAACCAGCATGAGAGACTCCTCAGTCATCCCAAGAATATCAAGTAATAAGTGAAAAAACAGTTTCTTTCCAATAATGCTCACCTGAGTGACTCTATAATTGAAATAAGGATCAAATTCGTGAATAACACTCTCGTACTTTATGACCTGTACACAATGCATAAAAATATCTTGAATTATTAGAGCAACTCTGCCCAATAGTGGGAATAGATAATCTACTATAGTGCAGGAAAAAACAGAAAAAGAACATTCAATACATCATGATCTAAAAGATATAATTCAGAAAATCATAATTCCAAAGGGGGAAAAAAGCATGGTCAGTTTACAGAAATGTTTACACCATATACCACGTGTACACAATTATTTCAACAAAATATGAGCGTGCTCGATGCATTTGGGCTTTTGGAATCATAACCAAAGAAAAAAAATAACCCTATCAAAGCATACTTCTTCAAATTTGAATTTCAATAAGCAGGCTTCAATTTAATATCTAATTATAATATCATAAACGGAAACTTATTTTAAATGCAAGTATACTTGAAATGATATCGGTTACATATTATGAAGATCATCTTATCTTCTTACTTTGCATGTCATTATTTCAGTCTAACTATTACACTCACACCACTAGTGTAAACATTTTCAAATCATTGACTTAACTCGCGAACAAACGAACACGGCTGGGTCAACTCACAGAAAAAATTTCTTTCTAAACAGTTAAGGCTAAGTAACTGAGATTCCACTACCGTGTCATAAGAACAATATAGAATACATGCGAATTGCAAGTTAGGCTCGTTTATTGTTATACACATGAGGAAACGGTTCAATTGAGCGGTTATTCGCGCCACTAAATTCAGAAGCAAACAATCACATTGAGAAAACGAAAACAAGGAACAGAAACAAGATGTAGACAACCAGATCTATGGAAGAAGAAAGAATGAGGAAATGCTTACGGAGAAGAGACGGATCGAGAAGGCGAGAACACCGATCAAGAGAAGTATGAAGAAAGCGAGAGCGTTTCCGTAGGCATGCCTCATGGAGGTACCGTTGTTAGCATCGGAGGCCGCCATTGACGGCCAAATTGAGCTCCGAAGAGAGAGTGCGTTTTGGGTCTGAGAGTGTGACTGGGGCTTTTATATCTCTGTAGAAGTCGTTGAGGTTGAGAGAGCTAAGGGGGAAGACTAGGCAGTGTTGGCTTGCGAACGAGAGAAGCTGTAACCTTACCTGAAAAGACAATATTGGGTCTCAACTTTTACTTAATGATTATAATATCCTTACTTGTGGACGTGGCAAAATTCTATTGGGCTCGCTACAAGTTTTTGCCACGCTGAGTCATGTGATTGGACGTGGACTCTCGTCTTAGGTCGTCGTCCATTGTTGATTTTTCATTTTTGTGCAATTGGAATTTTACAAATAAAACCTTTGTAAATCCATTTTACAAATATTTTTTTTAAGAAATTTGAAGAAGTGATTTAATTATTATTTTTTATTTTCATTATTTTATATATATTTCAATTAAAATTAATAATACTAATAAATATAAGAATTTTTATTAATATTAGCTCTTACAATTTAATTTAAATATTAATAAATAATAATTTATTTTTAAAAATTTGTATTTATTATATTAAAATTATAAAAGTAGAACAATTTTTTTAATAAATTTTTTATTATTATTAGTTACTTTTTTTTTATCTTTAAGAAAACCCTAAATATAATAATATTATTATTTTACGTACAGAAATTCTCGTAATTTTCATTAAAAAAATACTGAATCATTATAATAATTTAAAACTAATAATTAATATAGCTTATATGTAAAATGATTGCCATGTTTTAGTTTTTCAATTGGTCGCTACATACTAATGATTAACGGTTGATAAATGTAGTAATTCTAAAAAAAAAAATTGATATTAAATTTTAGAAATATCTTTGGCTTGAAAAAATTATTTTCATTTTATCAAACTTTAATATTCTCCTGTTTTAAAACAAATCGATTAAAATGAAGTTATATATTGTCAATAAAATTATTAATCAAAGAATTTTTCTTTTTTTGTCAACAATCACGATGGATTTTGATTTGGGATTTTTTAGCGTTGAGAAGCAAGGCCCATGGCCCAATATATGTTTTAACCAACCTCCGATAACGGCCTGCAAACGCAGACACGTCAATATATATTTTTTCTCAATACTATTTTGTGAGAAAATATGTTTTTATTTAAAAAAATACGTTTAAAAACATTATCATAATTCAATAATATTTTTTAGAAAATAAAATTCTAAAAAATAAACTTCAATACATTCCACAGAAGATAAAGAGATTTTAAAAAACTGTAATAACAAATATATAATAAAACTACTTTTTTCCACGAAACTAAACTAAATGTTAACTAAAACTAAGGTTATTTCAAAATAAATAGGATTAACATAATTCATATCATATAATATATTAAAAAGTGTTGATTTTGTACAAAAGAGAAATTGCTTCGAAGAAATTTTTTGCATAAGAAAAAAAAAACTAAATAGAAAAGTTAACTTTAATTATACAGAGAGAGGTTACAGCACAATCAGAATTCAGACAGAGGAAAAATAGAAAAATGAATAAGCCCTTTATTCATGAGCATCGAAATTCATTTAGTTTGTAGGCTACAAGCATGGAGCTCGTGTGGCTTCAACATTGAGTTAATCAGTAATAAATGTGTAAGTTCATCACCTCAGCAACTATAAAATCATACATTTCCTTTCCCTGCTTTGCTTATGAAGCTTCACAAGTTAATATATTTTATTTCCAGTGAAAAATATGACTCTTAGAAAGTTTATTCATTTTATAAGATTTCTTAAAAGTTGTGAATTGCATTAATTATTTTTTTACCAAAATATTCCTAATGAAGACAAATTAATTAATCGGGTTAAAAAAATCATGGTCTCAATAGTTTTAAAAACTACTATAAATGATTAATAAATTTATTGTCATTAGTTAAATCAACTAGTTTTATAAATTAGTCAAAGAGATTATATATATATAGAACTAAAAGTTTCCCCATCAAGCTCATAAAAAATAAAAGGAAAAAGATTGCAATCTTAATTTATGTTTGTGAGAGATATTTATTATATTTTTGTGAGATTTTAATTTTAGTCTTTGATTTCTTAAACTTTAGTAGTTTTAGTCTTACGTACATGATTAATAAAAAATTATGATGTCAATTTTTTGTCTGTATCACATTATCGAGAGACTTAAAAAAGTTGAATTTTAAAAGTTTATGGACCCAAAGTAAAAATTTTGAAGAACTATAATCAAAATAAATAAATAAATATATATATATATAAACTAAAGTATAAAATTATGTGCAATGCCCGGGTTCTGAAAACAAGCCACTGTTAATCGTCCGTGATCAACGGGTGCTTGGTGTATTTTCCAAGATGATTCCATTAATTTAATCCTGTAAGATTGGAATATTCAAGACCACGTTTCAATAAAAGCAATATAATGAAACATGTTCAGATGCAAAGTGACTCTTGTAATATATGGTAAATCATGAATCTCTTGCAGCAGATATTCCAAGGTCACAAGCCTTGAAGATCGCGGCCTTGTACAGCAGCATGTGTCAAAAAGACACAGTTCAGCTTATTTAATTTATGCAACACAATACAACAATTTGGGCATGGCCCTAACTCAAACACACTTAGAAATTCAGCTTATTTAATTGCTGCAACACAATACAACAACGTAATTGTTACCTAGTACTTTTAGTTTTCTTAAATTTGAGTTTCGACTTGACTCAACCTAAAAATATCTTACGAAGTAAAGACTGATGAGTAATGACAAACTTATACTTAAATTCACAAACACAACAATAATAAAGTACTTATTTTGACAAGTATAATTACTTTTTTTAAGTTTTGAGTGCTTCTTCCATGGTCCTCAAAGCTCCTTCCATCCTCTGAGCCATAACCTGCAAGCCAGTGTGAATGAAGGAATCAAGATATTCCAGTTTCCACCCTTCAACAGGGTCAACTTCATATAGCCACTCAATCTCACACCCATCATCTTCCTTTTGCAGAACCTTCAAAGTTGAAACGTAGGAGTGAAACCCAACATTTCCATCCACAATAGAATAGCTAAATGTTCTTTGAGTTGGGTCAATGGAGAGCAGTTTCTGCTTGGTCCAGTTCACAGTTTGTTTGTGATGGCCATCCAAAGGGGTCTTGAAACCAGCACAGAAGCGCACACAGCCAGGTTGTCCAGAAATGCCTTCAATGGGAAGACATGTTGAGAGAGTAGGGAACCACTTGTCAAGGCCAAAGAAATCCTCCAAAAGAGGCCACACTTGTTCTGCTTTCATTCCCTTTACTTGTGTTGTGGCCTTTCCCTTCCATTTTGCCTTTTCTTGTAACATAGGCTCCATAATATCAACCAGGAAGGAAGCAGCAATGCTACACAAACACGAGTGAAGAAGGATGTAGCATGTGGCTTATCAAAGTGGCCTTTATATATAATACAGAAAGTGTGTTACATTATTTTGAATAGAAAAAATAAAACCTAGGTATTATATTATTCTATAGACATAATTATATCATGTGATATTGCTAGGAATCAAAGTATGCCAAATGATAGTGATTTAATATTTTTTAGTTCCACATTAGATGGCAAGAGATTGGGAGCACATTTGAGTGGATGAGACTGTGTTTTTGTTGCGCTTTACAAAAATATTTTCAGTCGAATTTTGAAGGTTATTCGTTGTTAACTTCTTGGAGTTAAACGAGACCGAACTATATGCTGACTATTTTAATTTCTAATTTCAAAGTAGGTGAAACTAAAGGATTGATTACATACAAAAAGACAAAGTTATGATATGGGGTACTAAAACATACGCAAACGTAATGTCTAGAAGTTTTGTTTAAAAACTTTAGGAATAGAGAGAAAAATAATTTATGAAGTAACTGAAGAAAAAGAAAAAAATGTATGAGAAGGGTAAAAGGTTAAAAATTTCTCTTATTTGAATGATGAAGTCCTTCTAAAATAAGAGAATTAAAAAAAGACTTTAGAGGATTTTAAAAAAAAGTCAACACATGATCTCTTTATTTTTTAATTTTTTTTAAGAAAAAGGTGTTTTTTTTTATCTAACTTGCAAATACAATCTTAACCTAGCAATAAGCTAAAAGTATGAAGCTAGTAATAACCTAAGTTAAATTCATTAGTTGAGAAGACTCTTCAAAAGTTCAAGCTCATAAAATAACATTTATATCAAATAATGATCCCAATCAAATTATCCTCACACCTTAAAGCTATGGAAAAAGAGAAAGCTACTAGAGAATTTTTTAATGGCGCTAGAGCCGATGAAACTTTCTTAATTACCACTGTTCAAATCCAAGACATATCCTCCAAAATCTGCAACAGTTGACTAATAACAATAGTAGCACTAGCGATTAGTGCCAAAAAATATAAATGAGGCCAACTTGTACTAGCTATAGTGTGTGTGGTCACAAGAAATTAAGTATGGTACTCGATTTATATTATTAATCATCAAATGAATTCGCACCACTTATTTACACGCACGTTATCCCCATTTTAAAACTTTATTTTTTTTATTTTCTTTCTTTTTCCACTGAGATAACAGTTTATACATGTAATGAAAGAGGGTGTAAAAGAAATGATGTCAAAGAAATGTTTTCCTTATGGTATATAGCAAATAAACAAATCAATCTGAGAGGAGAATCAAAGAAAGAAAACAATCAATGAAGACAAAAGAATGAAGGAAATAACACAAATCAAGTTGCAATATTTTCTTCTGGTAGATAGCAAAGGCAAAATGCTGCACTAATATGATAAATTTGGTATTATTGTGGTCCAAAATTTCAAAGTGAGATAGCTCCCAAGTCTACAATTATGAATTTTTGAAGGTGTTGTGGAAACCACCGGCCAAATGCATGGTACAATTTAAATTCCCCCTTTAATCTTGATGTTGAAACAACATTGCTAGTGACTTTTGTGGTTAAGATTTGAGAAATTATATCCAAAACTAAGTATACACAATAATTCATACAAATAGAGAGATAAATAAATAATAAAAATAACACAAATAAAATAAGTGATATAATGTATGTTTAAAAACCTAATAAAATTACATTAAAATACGTTTTAATAACAAAATTATAATTGATAACGATAAAATAAAAGGTGCTTGCTACGAGAAAGTAGAAGAAATAAGTGATTATGATGGTGACAGTACGTGAACCACACATAGCTAGGGTTAATTATAATTGCAAGTTGAATATCAACACTACAGAAAAACTTCAATAACAACCAAATTCTAGAAACACTTTACATATATTTTTGTTTATCATATCACTCATTTCGTCTTATATTTCTTTCTTCTTTTCTCTCATTTTTTAAATTATAAAAATTGTTATAAGAAATTATCTCGAAATAGCATTATTTAAACAAAAATATTTGTTTCACACTTCTATTCTACAAGGGGTAAAATACGTAAAAGAAAATAATTAAACAATGATAAATAATATAACAAAAGATTAGATAAAAACATCATAAAAGAAATATAAAAAAAAAGTGCTTAAACTTCTTTAAAATATTGGGTGTGTAGAAAATATACTCCCCCGATATATAGCATGGTTAACTTGATTTCACAGCATGTATTATGTTTTGTATTTGATAAATACTAGTTTTTCTTGTGATACACATGAAAGATTTAGTTCTTCAAAATTAAAAGATTCACTTTAAAAAGTAAAGTTATCATCATCGTTCAAAATGTAAACACTGCATTGCGTGTACTGTGTATTGTCATAGATCGTTCGAATCACAGTGCAACAATGAAAATTAGTTATTCGAAATTAAGAAGTTTAGATATTTTAATCAGTTATTATTATTATTATTATTATTTAATTTTCATAAAACCTATGAGCATATTTTTTTGTTGTTTATAATATATATTTATATAATTTATCTTAAACAAATAACTATCGTAGAAATAAAAGAAATTGTGAATAAAAATTGTTGTATATTAAACTTGAACATGTATGTTAAACATGTAAAACGTCTTTTGACATATTTAATAACGGTCTTTTATTGTCCTTTAAAAAGTTAACTATTAAATATTTTAGGTATGATTCTAGAATGGTGGACAATAATAATGTTCTACTTTATAAAATGTTGTATATTTATATTTTGAATATGCTTTTACAATTATTAATTACAAGAAAATGACCAAGAATTTAAAAAAATGTATACTCTATGTTTTAAGAATAATTTTATAACTTTTCATACAAAATTGTCAACAATTAAATGATTTGTTGCCTATTAAATATTTTAGAAATGGTTTTACAACAACTGGTGAGGAAATTATTAACCATTAAAAATTATTGTCTATTAATTATATTACCTATCTTATATTTTAGAAACAATTTATAATGAAAATCATCAACAATTAAAAAATTATTACCTATTATATATTTTATAAACAGATTTACAGCAACTATATTAAAAATATTTACTTAAAAATTTGCAGCTTGTTATATATTTTAAGAATAATTTTTTAATCAGTAATAAAAAATATATATTACTTCCAATAAAAAAAATGTTGTGGTCAAATATGCAGATGCAAAAGATAATAATCTATAGAAGTGAATGGGGTTCTAGGGCCCAAGTAGATCTTCTTCTTGCCCTTGAAATCTCACATGGAACCCACCCATATTCATAAATGGCAGGCAATATAATTTGCTGATTAAATTTGAAATGTATATAAAATCTATATGGACAGGGCATACTCTCATTGCTGGATTATCTTAATTATACTTTATCTATTTTTTATGTATTTAATTAGAGTCTTTATTTTTAAATAAATGTTTCTTAAGAGTTTTTATTTTATTTTATCATTGCACCATATGACTTATCCTTTATTTTGTTTTTATCATTTCATTTTTTTTGTTTATTTTTAATTTTCTATAATATATTTTTATTTTTAAAAATATTTTTTATTTATATTAGTCATATTTAATATTAATAATTAAGTAATATATTTTTAAAATCTTCATTGAATTTAATAATATATAATTAATTACAAATTAGGTCTTGAGTCACATATTTTATTTTTTGATCGTCAAGGAGCTATGAAACTTTAATAATAAAATTGTGATATTTTAACTACAAAAGAAATAAGAGAGATAAAAAAAATAAGATATTTATTTATACGTATTATATTATATTAAGATTTCCTTAAAACTTAGAAAATTAATTCATATTTATAATAATCATTATCTTATCTAATTAAGAAAATAAATTTGATAAAACAAAGAAATATGATAACTAATTTTAAAAGAATTATAAAAATAAGGTAACTAACCTTATGAAATAACGATAAAATTAAAAAATATTCTTAAAAGATGTGATATAATAATTTTTTAAAATATTTTTATTTACTCTGACAACTAGTTATAACAAAATAATAATATTTTTTATTGGACAAAATTTAATTAGATTTCTATAAATGTTTTTTTACTTATTTTTAATCAAAATTAAAATTTTACTTTAGTAATATGTGTCATATTGACTTCCATTTATGAATTATTGAGATAAAATTTTAATTTTAATTTAACTATTAATAGTAATTATAATTTTACATCTAAATTTTTGTTTTGTTTTATTGTCTTATCCTGTGACATAATTTGTGTGTGTGTGTGTTAAAATCATCGTGACTAAAGGTACTGCAAAAATTTATATTTGAATAGCCTTTTTAGTATATCTTATATTTTTTAAAATTTTTATATCATCACATGTTGTGATACATGGAAAATTTATGATAATACTAATTCATACTTTTTTAAAAATATTAGTTTAACTTTAATTTAAAATTTGCTTTTTTTATTAGTATTATACTAATTTTATGTTATATTATTGTCATGAATATCTTATAATTTTAAACATTGACCATATTTTTGTATCTATCTTCTTATATTCATATTTTGTAATAATTAAAAAAAGAAATGCAGAGAAGAAAAGAGTTTTGCAAAGATTTTGATTAGCAAATCGAATTTAACCCCAGCAAAATAAAATGATATATAAAATAATAAGATATACAAACACTATAATTAATTTAAAATGAATTGTGTTTATGAAATACTTTTATAATTTAGTTACATACTCATACTTTTTTGTGAAGAGTCAAACCTTAGCCCATCAAGCTTTTTTTATCAATTTATTATTCATTAAAAATATTTTATTATTATAATAAAAAATTTATTTTATATATTTAGAATTACTTTCAGTTTATTTAATTGATTTTTAATATTTTTTTCACTTTTTAAATACAAAACATGGACAAGGTGCCATCTTATTTTATCGTCAGGCATTATGCGCTTGGATAGTTGACAGACATACACGGGGAAGAATTTGTTTACCTCAAGTTTTTCTTCTTTTAATTAACAAATTAATATAACTAATATATTATATTTATATTAATATATTATTTTATATCTTAAATTTTAGAAAAGTTATCAAATTAAAATATATTTATTAAAAAAATTTATTTTATTGTTTTATTCTCATTGAAACTCTTTTTTTCAAAAAAATCCCTTAAAAATTTGTTCTTGTAACACATTCGATTTAAAAAGGAAAAGTAACCCAACACACGAAAAATCATTATTAGAAATTAAATGTTCATTCTTAAAATAATGGGTGGAGATTAATTTTTTTAATTTCTCTTTTGTTATTTTTTTCTTTCTTTGTTTTTAGCGTTTTTTTTTTTTTTTTGTAATTCTCTCGTACTTTTCTGTTTTTCTTTTCCTTGGTTCTTCTTCTTTTTTATTTTTTCTTTGTCTTTTTTTCTTGTACTGCTTAATTAATTTCTTATTATGCGTTTAATCTATGTAGACAATGGATGGCAATCTCTAGTATGTTCGTTTTAAAGTGTTATAAAATTTATTTTAATATGACTAATCGTAAAGTATTAAGCATCACTAAGATATATACTAAATTAAATTTAATAATAACTTATTATTAAAAAATATAAAATTAATTTTTAACCATAAACTAAATGGGAAGCTGTATTGTTTAGTCATTTTCAAAATCCGTACTTGTTGCTCATGTAGAGTGAGATATTGCTGTCTCCACAGCGATGACTTCTTCATAAATATGTGGAGTTTAACGAATTGGGACCGCTGTGATAATGTGCATGTAGATCATAAAATGACATTTCCAATTTGAGGGGAGAAAAAAGAAAGAAAGAAAAAATGGCATTTTGCTTGTGACTGAGGTAATGTTGAAAGTTTGGCTTAATTAGAGCCTTGTTAGCAGTACTATATATATCATTCTATGTACCATACAAAGTTTTGCATGTTATTGCAAAGAACATTAATTTCATTAATGTTTCTAATCCATTGCTCAAACTTAAGCAACAACAAAATCTAGATTATATATAATAAATGCTGAATTATGAAATTCTGGATTTTGTTGGGCGCTTGCACTTGATAATGTTTATTGAAATAATAAGGTTTCTTATCCACTCTTTAAAAATAAAAATGGAAGAATCAACGGTGTATTGTTATATATATATATATATATATATATATATATATATATATATATGTCTTACTGCTACAGCCCTATTCAAAAGAACTATAAACTGCTGTACTTTCAGTAAAAGGTTTTCATAAAGAAACTGTACAAAAACAATATTTCAGAACCATTAGTTCGTGGTATTATTACAGACAGGGACGACCATTACTGGTCTCATCCGAAGGGCCTGTCAGCTGTCCAGCCTATAAACCATGGTTACAGAAATTTTATAAAGAAATTTAAAGTCCAGATCCAGAAGAACATAGCCATAAACAATTAACAGTTATATTCCTACTATATATATATATATATATATATATATATATATATATATATATATATTGCACATATTATTATTATTACTACACGAGGGCAATAAAAAATAAGAAAGTGGATCCAACATACTGTGAAGTGATCTAAAAGGAAACTAGCAGAACCATCTCTAAAGAAAAGAAAGTTTCTCACCTAAAGGAAAAGTTTATTTATTTGAATTGATCGCAATTTTAAAAAAATAAAAATTATCATGTTAATATAAAAGGAGGTTTGTGATGACAACATCGTTAAAATTTTGAAACTGAAACTCAATGAAATTATTTGGAAGAAAAGTACTCACAGCATAATTTTTATTTTATATGAAAGTAGAACAATGAAACGTTTAGGGCAAAAGTTGTTGTCCTTGTCCTAACCCATGTTTAAAGAGTTGGGTCAAGAGTCCCAAGACCAACAATAATATGGATTTGGTTAAGGTTGTTTAAGAAAAGAGCACTAGGCTTCAATATTAGGATCATGTTATAGTGTCTGGTTCTTCAATTTTCTTGACTGACCCGGGTTATATGCTACCTTTCTTTTTCTTTTTAAAAAAGAAAGACTTTACTGACTCGGGTTATATGTGTGTGTAGTTTTTATTTTATTTTTTATATTTTTTATCTTTACTATATACACACAAAAAATATAGTTTAAATATAAACAAAACTTTAAAATGTTTCTCAAGTGATAAGAAAACCAATCCCATTAAGACATGGTTATAACATGTATTTTGGATGTGTTTTGAAATATAACTTAATTACGCATTTATGTAATAATTAAAAATTATAACATAAATTTGAATATATAAACTAAAGTGAATTTATTCTAGCAAACTATATTGAATAATTTGTTGAAATATATTAAAAAATAACTTACAAGAATCTTAAGTTATTTTTATAAATTCTTTCAAATAACACATGTGAAAAAAATGAGATATGAAAAATGAAAGTATGAGATATAACAGACAATAAAATTAAAAAGATAAATGCAGAAAATAAAAATAAAAAAAATTAAAAGTAAATTTTAAGTAAATATCTAAATTAATGCTCGAAAAGATTGTTACTTTTGCTCTAAATTGACTTCCTAAAAAAATTGAAATTAATTTACATATTTCTGAATGCCAAAATAAACTTTTATGGATTAACTTGGCTAATAATTTCTTAAAAAATATTTTACAAGATAGAAATTATTAGTGCTACTTAATTAATTAATAAATTAAGTAAGTAATTCTATTAAATTAAATATATTTTAATGAAAAGATTAATATATTACTAAAAAGATGAAAAAACTATCAATAGTTATTATTTTTTGAAAAAACTAAATTAGATTTAGTAAATTTATTCAGACAAAGTGCAATACGTTATTTTTAATTAAAATTAAAAATTGACTTTAATTATTTGGATGATAAAAAAGAACATTAAAATGAACATATTAAAATTCAAAATCATTAAAAAAACAACACTAATAATATGCATCATATTATAACTAAGTTTTCTACAGTTGAGCTTTGAATTGATCATTGGTGTGCACTTTCTTCCGTACGTTAGAAGATTGATTATTGATTGAACTCGACAAGAATAGTTCGTATCCAGCAGGTACACTTTCCCCGCTTAGCACGGGGGAGGGATTCTTTTCTTTGTTTATTATTGAAGGTTTATTTGTCCAAAACATTCAATAGTATAAATATTTTTAAAAATATATGAAAAACATAATTAAATGTATTGTATTTTGTATCTTAATTATACTTGAATTTTATTTTCCTCTTTTTTTGTATCTATTCATAATTAATCACAGGACATTTGAAACAACTTCTACATTAGAAATTTTAATATTAAATTTTTGTTATCCTTCTTCGAGCATAATTATGATCTGATAGGTGAATTTATTATTAAATATTTTTATAATAATTTAAACTTAAAATTTGCTTAAGTGATATCGAATTACTTATACTTTAAATAACTTTCGTTGATTTAATGAATAATATTTAAGTCATATATTTCACCTATTAAAAATAAGTTAAAAGAAATCGACCCGGCACTTGTAATTTTTACCTGAAAAAACAGATTGTCATTTGAAAGTACCTTAACACTGCAATAGTTATTAATTTGTTTGGTTCACTTTTTAACCCCAAACACCCAATATAACTATATCAAGCAAATTGACATATATAGGAAAATAGTCAACATGTGCTTGCAATTTTAAATACTTATACTCCATTGGGTACCAAACTAAGACTTCAGCTTTTATTAGTGTGTTTGTCTAACAAAAATTAAAGTGTTAGTATATATATTGTAAAATTGTACAAACAATATTATACCAACAAATAATTTTATTAGTAGGAATATAAATATACATTAACAATATATTAAATATTAGTATGATACGTAATATGTTAGTATAAAACGATAAATTTACACTAATAATTATTTTGTTACATAAAGTTTATAATTTAATACTTAATACTTACACGCATATATGTGTACAATTAATAATATTTTCAAAATTCAGTGACCAAGCAGCATTGACATTTTCAATTTTATAAAGGCAAACAGACCTACTCAATCAAAGTCACCTATATAAATTGTGTCTGAAAATTCACTATGGTCAACACGCACATTAGCACATATGTAGAATTAATGTGATACAAATAACAATTACGCGGTTAAGCTGCAATATTATATATCTTTATAACTTAGTCTCTACGGAAAATGCTAAAAAATCTAGTATTATTAGTTCCCATCATGGAGATCTTCTAGTAAATTCCAATTCAACTTCCATGTAAAAGCACAATAACATGCAAGCAAACGAATAATATAATACCAACCTCAATCATTCACGTGCTTGCCCAACGCTCGTTCTGCTCGTGAACTCCAACCTCCAATGAAATAACTATAAATTAATTTGTATAATTTTCTTTTTTTTTTATATAATTAATCTCACCTTACTTTATGTTTTCTTAATCTTTAGTTTTATTGTCTCCCATTTATTCCATAATATTTTTTTTTTCCATTTGCCATGATTCTTGATTTAGGGAAAAATATATAATTGGTTTAGTGAAAGATAAAGCTCCAGCGCATCTTCATCATCCCTTGAGAGTTTTCAAAATTTGTATTAAGTTTCTAACTAATAAGACAAAACACACACAACTCCAAAGGCTTATTCTATTCTACCAATAAATGTGGAGGTTACGTCTTTTTCTCAATCAACCAAAAAACAAAGGCACGCGCTGTTATTGGTAGTGGAATTAACTTTACATAGTCGTTGATAATTACATTAAATTATTCCAAACGCTATCATATTAATCTTTTCTTTAATAAAGATAACTTATCGTAGACCCCTTTATATAGCTCCCAATCCTCACTCTCCCATTACAAATCAATCAATACACATTCAAAATTTTCACCATTTCGTTAGACAAAGAAACACACACACATATTTTGCCTCTCTCGAGCAATGGAAATTGAGCGATGCCAACCAGTGGTAGCTAAAAAGCTATGGAACATAATACGCATAGTGTTCTTAATGTTGAGAAAAGGCATAGCGAAGAGCAAAGTAGCGTTTGATTTCAACGTATTAATCAAACGTGGCAAACTCGCCGCGGGTAAGGCCATAGCAAACACACTCACACTCCACCAGAGATCACGAAACGACGTCGTTTACCCTCGTGACTACGAGTTCAGCTGCAGTAATAGTCCCGCTTTTCCCTTTCACAAACGGAAGCATTATCACTATCATCATTGTCACCGCTACGACGACGTTTCCGCTATTGCGGTTCAGAAGGTTCTTGAGATGCTGAACAACAACAAGGTGGAGGCTTCACCGTTGGTTACATTGCCAGGGTTTGGAAAGAGTCCAATTGGGAAGCAACTTAGAATCACCGATTCACCCTTTCCTTTGAAGGAGGAAGAAGTGGACAACCAAGTTGACGTGGCAGCTGAGGAATTTATTAAGAGGTTCTATAAGGATCTTAATTTGCAACACAAATTGTTGGCTTCTATCGACTCACCTAGTTACCATTATAATTCATGGGATAGATGAAAAAAACACGTGCACATGTGGTGTTTCTTAATTTCTAGCCATACATATGAAGTTTTTAATTTGTCACACAAAGTCATCACAACCACCTTCTTCATGTTTTTCACAGCTTTTAGTTTGTCAAGTAAAAAAGTCACGTGATCGATTTGGTATCGCACACCCTCTCTGGATGAGTATTCATTTGTGACTTTATTACTCTGATGTATATAGTACTCTAATTTTTCTTGATCAGTTCAAGATTTTGGGCTTTTTTTCATATATATAATCATGCTTTGTGTATATTGGCTTTCCCGTTATGTTGATAATGCGAGAGATAATCTTCATCCATTATTATAATGTGAAATGTTAAGTTTTGTTATTATTGACAGTGGTAAGTAACAAAAAGAGGTAAAGAAAGGGAATTGTCTATGGGTTTGTCCTTCTAGTTAGGACCTTTTTCTTTGGCTTCTGATATGAGGTAAAATATATATTTTTATACTCATTTTCTGGGCTGAGATTAAAGCGAGGAAACGTTATATTTGTGCTTTTCCGTGACTACAGAAATAAAAATAAACGTAAAAAAATTATAAAAAATATAATATTTGTTAATAAAACTTTTCACCCACTTCTGTTTTCCATGACCCTGGGTCGTTCATGTATAGAAATTTAAGGTACAACTTTTCAAAAAGCTTGGTGGGTTGTAGCTTGGCTTCAGTGGCTTGAGTTGGTTTTTGAAAAAAATAATAATTATGTAATAGTTATTTTTGTTTAAAAATTTTCAGAAAAAAAAGGAAAAGATTTATAAACCCTTCTAATGTTTTTAAGTTTTCTAAAATTTTGCATTAACTTTTTTTTTTCTTTACCATTTAAACACTTTTTTTTTTCCTTTCCTCCTCTTCCATGGTGGTTTCAGTTTTCGTGTTTCATTTACACGCACTTCTTATAACTCGTAATTAAAGCACCGTTTATTAGATGTACAGTGAAATACAAAATCTAGCTACTTTATGAAGTAAAATGAAGCGTGGAGAGAATTTGCGTAGTGCGTTTGTATCATTTGGGCGATATACTTCTCTTTTGCTATCATCATTAATGAGGTTGATGACATATACTATCACAAATAATTGTCATTAACCATTAATTTAATTAATAAAAACAGTTATTTGTTCCCCTCGACCGGAAATAATTGAGGCCAAATAATTCCAAAATGAAGGACTATCGAGATATAGTGAAATGTGAACCTCTTGTTTTATGGAACAATAAATTCAGTCTTGAAAAAATTAAGGAAAATATTTTGTGTAGAGTTAAGATTTTTTAAAGAACATGTAGATTATTTAGCGAAAGATTATTTCAGTTTAATCTATACTTTTGAGTTAAAATTTTACTAAATACAAATATATTAAACATTGAGAGATAAAACTTATATGCACCTTACATTCACTCATTTGATTCGAGTGTGAACAAAAACTTGTTAAATCGCTGGTAGTTTGATTAAAGTGGGCACGAAGAAAAAGGTAGCATTTTAACAAAAAGAAAAGAAGAGCACTAGTGGAGAAAATCATTCTAATAAAGAGTTGGTGAGGGATTGAGATGTACTATTGCTCTATAATTGAATTGCAGAGTCCATTTCATGCACTGTGATCTTTTGTTCTTGGCTATATATTGTTAATAATTGGTTGAAGTCTAAGTTTTGCTTTTACACGTTGCTGATATTTTAACCCTTTTCTTGGAGTGAAAACAATTAGTATCTTCTTTGCAGCCAGCATGCGACACATGGAATACATATCACTGGACAATTCACTGTTTGATTAAAAACCACGTTGTCACATCAATATCATTATTGGACCATCAATCATATTCCATAGGACACCGATATGTCGGGTGTTTCTTTGTGCTATTTCAAAAGTTTTGAAGAGATGATTGTGTCATTGTTTAAGTGAGTTTTGAGAACTAGGAATTAATTTTTGTTTAGATTTCTAAAACATCCTTGATTATTTGAGGACTTTTATGCGCATAAAATCATAATTTTGATTTATAAATGTCTTAATAGTATTAATATTTATATTATTTATCACACTTATTGTATTTTTTATTTTTATCTATCTCAAGATATAAACACATGTTTGAATATATGCTAAATATTTTCTATAAAATCAGGTTACGTTGTGCGTATTCGCGACACATACATTTTACTGTTCGTTTTCCAATAATATGCCATCGAAGCCTATGTAAAGTTACATTTTATTTTTACTTTATTTTATTAAAAATACAGTTTTTTTTATCACTTAATAAGTAAAAAACTAAACTCTTAAAGAGAGATGATAAAATGATTATTCACAGTCATTCGGCCCGGCTTTGACTTGAGTTTTAGATTTTTTCGAATTTATTTTTATTTAGATCTTAAGATAAAATCGAAGTTTAATTCAAATTCACATTTTACTTTTAAATAGATAAAAAAACTTAGTTTAATTCAGATTTAAAATTACATTCATGCAATGAAACAATGTACGTTGCATGATCTATGTCCCAGATTACAAAGCACATTCAACAAATGCGAACAATTTTTAATTCTTGTTAACAGAGTTTTCAACATGTGTATACAAACAGATTCTGAATTAGAATGGGCCAATCAAATTTTAATATTTTGTTAACTCTATTATTAAAAGGATGAAATTAAAACTCAGACATTAAAAGAATTCAAATTCCTTCTACTTAGACTAATACACGATGTAATCAACATATAAAAAACTTATGATAAACAAAAAATTATCGGGTCATATAAATATATTTCATACGAGCTTTTATCATATAAAATGAACTTAAGAGTAAAATGACAAACATGTGTATGAGTATATGTATATATATAATATGGTTACATGAGTAGCCGATGGAAAATGTGTTAAACCTCTGAGAAATAAGAATGTCTTGGTGGGAATTGAAGTCATACAAACTCTTGAGTTTTTAATCTTAAATTGTGTAGGGAATTCAAAGACTTTTCAGCACAAACTTTACAAGAGTCACATTGATATATAAGGGAGGGGTTATTTAGTGTGATAAATTAAAAGTATATATAGTGCTTAAAATTGATTTGCCCATTACTTCTTCTATAAAAGTTATGGTAGTGGCAATAGTGGAGCTATTTTTTAAAAGACGAAAAAGCCATGCTGCTTTTGGTTCATCGTATGGCCAAAGATGTAGAATCGTTGCTTCAATTAATTAATTAAGAATAGGGTAAAAGGGACTTTAACATTTAAAGTTCTGGTATATATTTTATATCTAAATTTGAGCACCCTTGTATACGTATCCGTGTGGACACTTGGAAAGTTCTTCACTTTATCCAAAAGAGAAAATAATAACAACTGCGATATCTTAATGAATTTAACAATGGTCATTTTTTATGGAAAAAAAAGTTGTAGATTTTGTGATATTTTGCAGCTTTTAACGTATCATACTAATCGTGTATGAGTTTAAATTTGAAGAAGCTTAGTTTCTCCCATTCCAATCCATATGATGAGACACCAAATACAATATCATATCTAATAGAAAGCAATCAATCCCAAACTTTTGTCTTTATTAATCCATGTTGAATGAAAATATTGTGATAAAGAGTTTTGTCATTTATAATAATAGATGTGATTTAAATTAAAAAAATAAAAGTAAAAATTGAAATAAATAATAGAATATAATGTAATTCAACAAAAACTTAATAGAATATCATTAATATTTGATAGAAAAACAGCTTAAATGTATTCCTAATCTTATAAATGATCCACAATGACAGTTTTTTCGGTTGAAATGATCTGAGAGAGTTGTATATTTGGGGTTTGCGTTGTGTGGAAGACGAAGCATGTGAATTTGATGTTAACATTTGCTTAATGTATTGACCCAAAAGTAATGATGAGTGGTTGCAAATTGCAATAGATAAGGATTGGTCTTCTCGAGTCTCTTTATCTCAACAAAAAGCATTACTTTTCCATTAAAGGATTCATCGTTAAATAAAAAAGACACAAGAAGTTGGAAGATGTGTGCTTTGTATGCGTGTCTCTTTTATTTCAGTTGACAGTTATTTCTATCTTTTTGTAACACCTCCATTAATTATTAATGCTATTATTTATAATCTGGTTTATTTATATCTTAAGTGGTATAGACTGCAGATTTATTTAGTCCAAAATACTATTTAACAAAGTCTTTTGAACTTATCTTAATTAATTTAAAATAATAAATTATTTCATTAAATTAAGAGATATTTATGCATTTTTTTGTGATTTTTAATACATTTTAATTTATAATAAAAGGGTGTATTAAAAAAATACCTTGTTAATTTTATTTTTTTATCACTTTTTTCTTTATTTTTATTTGTACTAAATGTTCAAAACCCTTAGCAAATTCAAGCTTTGTTTGTTTGTTTGTTTAATTATTATTTTTGTTGAGTACTTGCCAAAATGGAGTTTGTCCATATTGGGAAGCTCTATATTTAAAAGACTTAATTAGTTTGATTCGATCAAAGCAATTCGTTTTTTCACTTCTAAATATGGCACACAAAACTATATAAATAGAGCATTGAATAAAAACTTAAGAAGATGACCGGGAAAAAAAGCTTAAAACAAAGGCTCACGTTGAAATCCACATTGGATTCTATTAGCAGTGAATTATAAATCTCCATCATTAAAATTAAAGAAAAATAAATAAACTTATGAACATGCTATTAAGATTAGAATAATGTTAGTAATACACTCTCCATTATTGATTAAAATTTATTAAAAATTATAAAATTAAGTTTCACTCTTTCTTATTTCTATATTAATATTTTTTTCATATTTTTGTAATTTTTTAAAAAAATTAATCAATAATAAGTAATGTGTTAAAAAAAAGTGTGTTGCCAGTATTTATTTTAAAATTATCATTTAATTGAACAATAAACAATTGTCTAGTTATAGTCTAATCAAAATTACCTCATATTCGTCCAAATTAATATTTTATTTTATTTAAAAGAAGAAATATAGTAAATCTTATAAAGAGAAAGGGAAAAAAAAGAAAAATTAAAGGACATGGTGCATTTCACATGATTAAATCTATCCACTCATCTCATACATCATAATTAAAATAAATGAACTGACTCAGAGATAGTTGTAGTAATATTTTCTCTCGATGCATTGGATATCAAATCAAGGGATATATATGATTTCGATTTGGAGCATTTGTTTATTTAGATATAAGGAAACATTTATCAATGCATATCGATCTGAATGATATGAAAATTCTTTCTCTTAAATAGTTTGAAGTTTGAATATTGTACATAAATTAATAAATATTAAGAGTATATCACTTCCTAAGTGCATTAATTTAATTTAACTCAAATAATATTGTATCTAGGTTAAAAAAATTGTTCCCACATGGATGACAGCTTCCAAGAGATGCATCGACCAAGCTAGTTTCCCTGACTTTGGGCCTCTGGAAGCCCAAATAAGTGTTTATTCTAATTCATAAATGCTTAGTTCTTTTTTTGTCAACATATATTTTGCTTATTTCAAGTTTTGTTTGCCCCACTGTATCCAAATTGATTTTGCTTGAACCCAAAAATAGAATTAATTTGATGACATAGTTAGAAAACAATGCAACCCAAAGGAAACAAATAGAATAAAATCATAATTGTACGTATATATAAAACACATCACTCTAATTTAAAGATATATGATAGATGGACCAATTTAACAATTGAATCCAGTGAATAACATCCCCAAAAGAAGATCAAATAATGGAAAAATAAAAATAATAGTTTTCTGGTTTTATATCTCTTATTAATTATTACATAAGAGATGCAGCATAATGAAAATAAAAAATGTATAAAAGCTTACGTGCAGGATGTGTGACACTGTAACTAGCATTCATTTTTTCAAACAACATTAGACGTGGACATGGTACCTTAATTTTAAGAAGTTGGCTAACACGTGTTATTAGGTACTAACACCTTTTTACCGTGATTTTTAATACAATTTTACCTTTTTTATATTAATTTTTTTTTTATTAGAGACAATCTTATTCTTTCTTCAAATATTTTACTTAAGACTCAAACTTTAAATAATATGTTAATTAATTTTACCGTTTATAGATTTGTTTAAATCATTATTTATTTTCTTCATTACCACAGCTGAATTTTATTTATTTTTACATGTTTTTTTTAAGAGAAGAAAATTACGTTTGCTTAAGAGGATGCAAATTTTTTGGCGAATCTGAGACCCAACACCGAGAAAGAAGCGGTTTTACTTTGATTGCATTTCTCGCGCGATTCGTTTCAGGTAGCAGCGTACGCGAACAGTGCAGTGGATTGATAATCGAAGCGACGTCGTTGAGCGATGGAAGGAGCTTGAGTAGTGGATCTTTGAACTCTTAGGGATTCGAATATTGTGCAATGGATTCGTGGCTCAAAGCCGCTGAAGGTAAATGGATCTATCTCGCTCGCTTTGTTCCTACGATAGTATCAATCAACCTTCAAAATCTCGTTATTGATTCCTTCAATTTTGCAGAGCTCAGAGTTATTTTTTGATCTCAATGCTTGATGATTAGTGGTTACGTTTTCGTGTGTAAAATTATTACATATGGTGACGCCGATTTCGTTTTAGAATTGTTATTTTGGCAATGATGTCACGTGCAATTCAATGAAGGAGAGCATTGTATATTTGGAGTTTAGTTACTTTTTATTTATTGTTTGTGGATTGGAGGAGAGGGAGTTATATCACTTGATGCATTTTCATTTGAGGATGTTGCACAGTTGAAGTGTTGGAACTTGGATTAATGTTTCTTTCTGCCAGCCCTGTTTTGTGTGACTTAGCAGCTCTTTTTGAGCTTAAATCTGATGTTTACTATTTTTCTTTTTTTGGCTTTGATTTATCAGGTTTGTTTGAAGTTGTAGATCGAAGAGCGAAATTGGTTGCCGGTGACGCATCAGATGAACAACAGTCTGATTTCAAGTCTCCAGGTTTAGATTTTAGTTCTTCCCCCCCTATCTAGCTATCATTTCATGCTGAATACTTTCTCTGGAATTAGGCTTGCTGCTAATTAATTGAAAAAGTAAACATTATACATTGGAAACCAACTTGGGTTAAAAGATTACAATAAACTTTTGTAAATCAGGAAAAGTCTAGTTTGATTCTTCAACTCTGAAGTTGTGGAAGTAGAATTGACGTGTTATTGGAATTGGCTTTCCCTTGGAGGAAAGTAGTGTTGACAGCATGTTCTTGTAAACTAAAAGGATAAAACTTATCAACAAACAATTTTACAATTTTTTTTTTCTCTGGATGTTACATGTCTACTGGTTAACCAGACTAATCTGTAGGGCCAAAACAAAGGAACCAGACTAATCAACTATTGTATTCTATATATTCCCCTATATCAGAAGTTCTTACAGTTGTTTAATTGTTTTATTGTTACCTTTTAAAAATTAGCATCAAATGGGCAAGGATCTCAAGGCAAGAGGACAAAGTCAAAACCCAAGGTATTGTGTCTGCATCTCTTTCCAGCATTCACAGATAATAGTCATGTAATATTCACATTGGACTTGTCTTCTTGAGCTTGTGTAGGCTCAAAAGGGACTATCCAACTCATCAACTGTAATTGGTGATACTGCTAAGGAGAAAAGTGGATCTCCAGCAGCACCTGTTGACATAACAACTCCAACAGACAAAGTTGATCCTGAAAATGAAGGGAGTGCTTCCACATCTGCAAACCAACTGAAGAAGGATCAGCAACCAACTGATGCAACATCACCTTTGTTAGGCACTTCATTATCAAAAACGCTAGCCAATGATGTTGATAAACATGACACAAATGATGCGGAAGCATTAGCAAATGATACTGATGCTGAAGTTGCCACTGTTGCTGCAAATGGTGATCCTTCCAAAGAGAATGCTTCAGACATTTGTGAGGTGGATCCTCTTGTTCCCAAAGGAATTGATAGCCCTGGTGATGGACCAACTAGTACTGGACAAAATATCAAATCTGGAGATTTTGATACCAGTAAAAATACGGATCAAGAGAAATCTGAATCTGTGGCTGCTGAAAAAGCTTCTAACAGTGACACTATACTCAAAGATTCTGATATGAAGGTGGAATCTAGTGTGAATACAAAGAGCCAAGAGGACCATAAAACTGACATCTCTCCAGAAAAAGTACAGGATCAACTTGATGAGGTAATATTTGTAATGGAGAAGTTTACTCATTCTTATGCACATCTTTTTTAAAAATTTCTTCTGACTAATTTTTTTAGTTGGTATGTAGGCTCAAGGATTGCTTGAAACAACAAAATCTACTGGTCAGTCTAAAGAGGCAAGGTTAGCTCGGGTAAGAATTTTTTGTTTAAACCAACATTTCTGTTAGCTAAAGCCTCCATAAATGGGGGAAACCTGTTCACAGAGGCTGATCCTGTAGATAAGTTCTGAATCTCAAAGAATTTTTTCCCATTTGCTTATCATAGATGCATGATTGATGTTTTCTAATGATTCTCAGGTCTGTGCTGGACTGTCATCTCGCCTTCAAGAATACAAATCTGAAAATGCACAGTTAGAGGAACTTCTCACTGCTGAGGTGAATCATTATTATTGCTTCCTGTTGATGTTTACAGCTTGAAATAAAAACATTTTGATTGTTGTATTAATTAATTCTAAATCTACAGAGGGAGCTGAGTAAATCATATGAGGCTAGCATAAAACAGCTACAGAAGGATTTGTCTGAAAGTAAAAGGGAAATAGCAAGAGTTGAATCAAATATGGCCGAGGCTTTGGCAGCTAAAAATGCTGAAATTGAGGCACTTCTAAGTTCTATGGATGCAGTTAAGAGGCAGGCTGCATTGTCAGAAGGAAATCTAGCTTCCTTGCAGGTTCCTCTTAGTTAATTTATTGAAGTGTGTTTTGCAATATTTTGTTTTCTCCCACGCAACTACTGTTTCCACCTAAACTATTTTCTGTGCAATTTGCTTTGGTTTCTTTGAAGCTTTTTCTTTCTTTAATTAATGATGATCATATTGGATTGCTTCAGTGTTGGCATCTTACATTTTATAGAACATCTCAGCAAATTGACGTCTGACATATTGGTTTTGGTCTATGAATGTTAGGATCTGATCTGTATACCTTTTTGGTCAATGAATGATAAGGATTGCTAGAATTGTATATTCACCTGCCTGGTTTTTTTCCAGTAACTAGAAGAAAATTACCACTACCTTTTTTCAGAACATAATCTGACCAGCTTGCTGTCCATGTTTTAGCAATTAGATGGTCAATCATTTGCAGGGTGTGCGGGTTTGTTGCATGTGGTGTCTGTTCAAAATTTCTTATAGAAGATATCTGGGAATCTTTTTACTCAATGAATTGGGAAAATATTTGGCTATTGTAGACTTGTTTGACTGAGTAACATGGTGATCTACCTATTTCAGTTTCCTTCATTAATTCTTTCTGTGAAGTAGGATTTGTCATTTCACTATAGTTTGTACCTTCAATATATTCTCGCACTAGAGTGTTATTTATAAATTTTTAAGGCTTGAGTAACAAACACCATTCATTTCTTATCAGGCAAACATGGAGTCGTTGATGAGAAATCGAGAACTAACAGAAACAAGGATGATGCAGGTTAGTTGTTTCTATGATGCATGTAAGATTACTATAATTATACAATATTTCTGATTTATATGATGGAGTTTGTTTTCATGTTTTCAAATTGTTGTTCTTGTAGGCTCTAAGAGAGGAGCTAGCATCTGCCGAGCGAAGAGCAGAAGAGGAACGTGCTGCACATAATACTACCAAAATGGTATGTAACTTGAATTATATATTTCTCATGTTTCTGTGTTTTGCATTATCTTTTAGTGATTCTGTGATTGGTAGAATAGGCTGCCATGGAAAGAGAAGTAGACTTGGAGCACAGAGCAGTTGAGGCATCCACAGCCCTTGCAAGGATACAGGTATTTTAGCACTTACAATGGTTTAACTTTTAAATTGGGTGCAAGTCATATTAAAAGCTTTTTGTTCTGTTTGGCTTTTGCCATAAGTCATTGCCATATTAAAAACATTTTAACAGAGATCTATTTTACCGAAAAGTCATGTACAACAGTGACAAATGAACAAGGATTAATCATGTGTTAATAAAGTTACAGTGGTTCCCCTTGACAAGCTATTTTAATTGTAGAACTGGTATTGGGTTGCTCTTCTTTTCAGAAAGTAGCAGATGAGAGGACCGCAAAAGCCACAGAACTTGAGCAGAAGGTGGCACTTCTTGAGGTACATAATAAAACAGTTAAATTTTTCCCTTTTGAATATGAAGGCTGAATCTGGCTGATTAGTGATTACTATCCTGAAAGGACGATTTACTAAAACTTTTTTGGTAACATCTTTTATCAGGTCGAATGTGCATCTTTAAATCAAGAACTCCAAGATATGGAAGTCCGTGTGCGCCGAGAACAAAAAAAATCACCAGAAGAGACAAATCAAGTAATGCAGGTATACAGACATTGACGGCTGAGAAGAAAGTAGGCTGTTGTGAAACTTATTAGGTCTCATCATGTTTCACATATTCTACTAAGTTCATCAATAGAGGTTTAGGGTTTAAAGTTGATTGCCTCATCGATAAGTATAACATCTAAAGATTCAGTGTCCTTTTTGGTTGATTGCCTAAGCCAAATTCAAAGCACATTTGATATGCTGTATACATATATATAGAAAGGACATATTTGCTATGTTTTTTACGTATATGAAAAGTCACTGTTGAGAAGTAAATCTTTCGCCCTATTTGTCTGTATTTTATCATTTTATGAAATATTGTATACGAGAAAGCTTGAGCTCTTTTTGTGAGTATGGTGTCTGTTTGCTGCTCTACACAATTGCAACTCTTACAACTTTTATGTTCAACCTTCTAATTCTTTTGAAATGCAAATTAGACCAAAATGTCATTTTTTTAGCAAATGAAAATAGAAGTGGGGGGGAAGGAGTGAGGTGTTTGGAAAAAATTTCCAGGGTCATAGTTGAACCTGGGTATGGCAAGGCACATGTCAAAACCCATAACCATTTCTTGCTCTGACGGGTCAAAGGATTATTGGGTCATTGGCTCCTATCATTTATGTTTAAACTCTTGAGTGTCAGTTATGATAATACTAATGATCATTGTTCATCCTTATGGAGTTATTAACAAGTTGATATATTAAGATGCAGGCATGGCAGGAAGAATTGGAGCGTGCACGTCAAGGTCAAAGGGAAGCTGAAAACAAGCTATCTTCCTTGGAGGCAATATATTTTTTTTAATTATTTTCTTATGAAGATTATTGGAGATGATGACCTCCTGTCTTGCTGGCCAAGGTGCATTTCCTATCATTCATTATATCTTTTGTTTCTTTTTTTCAGGCTGAATTGCAAAAAATGAGAGTTGAAATGGCTGCCATGAAGAGGGATGCAGAACATTACTCACGGCAGGTAACAATCATGGTGTTTCTTTATGAATTATCTCTGTCGTCAAATAAAATTTGAACTCACAAGTTGTATATACAAAATTAATAAAATTTCCTTGTTTCTTAAGTAGGCAGAGCTTAGACTTAATGGTCATACTTCTTCATTACTAGTGAAATTAAGTTACAACTTTGAAGTCATGTTCTGGGGTGCTGCACCATTTTGTCAAATAAGTGGTCTTGTTACTAAAATTTTGGGAAAATTAAGAGTAAAAAAGACTGGTTAAACCATTTCCAGTTAAGGAACGATCAATTAATTGCAACTAATTAACCATCTAAGTGGTTAATTGATAATTGTTCTTAAACTGAAAACGTTTTCGTTTTTTACAATTAAACCCTTCTAGTAATTTTTTAGTAAGTTTCATTGTGTGTGGAAACATATTTTTGAACATTGGTTCTTGGCAATTGATGGTTGATATATTTTGAATGAACTCAAGTCTAGATATAAAGGTGCATCATTTTTTTTAATGATATTATGGAGTGTCATCCCATTTGTCTAAAAGTATCTATGACTTCAGTAGCATAGATTACAACTTAGTCATATTCACCATCCAAATCTTCAGAAATGTTCACGATTGATTATTGGAGGGTCTCTAGACTATTTAACCAAGAAAAAATCAAATTGCATCTTCAAGTATTAAATGGGTGCAATGATTTATTTATATAAAGGGTAAGCATAAGCATCCATGCATCTTCCTGGTTGCATGCCATATGTTTGATATCAATCAGATATTACCATGAGTAATGCCAACAACACTTTCTTTGCTGCTCTTTTCAACACACTGTAGTTTCTAAAAACTGGGGAAAATCCTATGATGGCCTCACTAAATAATCTCAGCTTTCACTCTCTACTAGTGGGGCCAACTAAGGATTTCACCTAATAATAAGAGTGTCTTGCTAACATTTCTCTATTACCATTATTTACTTCTCTGTGGGGGTATAGTTGGCTTCAATGATGTACTTCAAATGCTACCGGCCTATCGATCTCTTCTTGTGTGGGTTTTGACTTGTAATGAAGTTGAAGTTAACCCTAATACACTTAACAAGTGCACGTTTTGATGTTATGATAATTTTGGAATGCTACTTGTTCTAAGCATCATCTTACTCTTGTAACAGGAGCATATGGAATTAGAGAAACGCTATCGGGAACTGACTGACCTTTTGGTAATTTGTGTCATGGTTAAATTTCATGCAAGTACTTATGATGCTCAATAATTTTATGTATTATCTTCATTTCAGTACTACAAACAAACACAATTAGAAACCATGGTCAGTGAAAAAGCTGCCACAGAGTTTCAATTGGAGAAGGAAATTAAGCGTCTTCAGGAAGCACAGGTATGTAATTAGGTACCTGCAGGTGCTTGATTAGGAGTTTGACTTCACTTGGGTTTTTACATCATGATCATGTTGAACAGGCAGAAGCTGAAAGAAGTAGGGTTTCTCGTCGAGCATCATCGGCTTGGGAAGATGAGACTGAGATAAAATCCCTTGAGTATGTTAACTCTTACTATCATATTAGCATGTACCTTTTTTATCTGTGATGCATTTGATTGAAATGATCAAAAGCTTAAGCCTTGATGGTCATGTACCCTGCTAGCAGTGACAGTTCCTGCAAACTCATTAAAATGTAGTGATGCCTTGTTGAACTCTTTTGTTTTCCTCCCCATGTTAAATCATTCATGTACTTTTTTCCCATTCTAATTTGTTCTTAATAAATTGTAAAATTATGGTAGTGATTTGTTTATGATAACACTGTTAAAATCACTTTTTTACTCGGTTAAGCTTCTTGGGTATGCTATTCTTTGTCTTTGCAAATATTGCGCTATCTGTTTTTCTTTGTAATTGTAGAGTTGGGAAAGTGATCTTATAAAGTAAAAATTGCAGGGCTCTTCCTTTGCATCACCGTCATATGGTTGGTGCAAGTATTCAGGTATAACAATCATCATTTTTCTTGTCATTTTCGTCTCCTTTTGAGCATTATTTTTTTATCCTGTATGTGGCATGCCTCATGCAGTTGCAGAAAGCAGTGAAACTATTGGATTCAGGGGCTGTCAGAGCCACAAGATTTCTCTGGCGATATCCAACAGCTCGAGTGATTTTATTTTTTTATTTGGTGAGATCAGTTCGTTAGACGTTTGAAATGTCAAATTAGCTGAGATGAAATATCATTGAAGGATTTGAAATTTAGCTAACCTTGATAAATTGCAACAGGTTTTTGTACATCTCTTCTTGATGTATCTCTTGCATCGCCTTCAGGTAAACTCATTGCAATACAGAATATATTGCATTTATTGATTCATACAGCCATGTTAAACCTTTTCCTTTGGGTATCATATCGCAAATCAAATCTTGTTGATTCTGACGTTTTTATCTTCTATGTAGGAACAAGCTGACAGTTTGGCTGCAAGAGAAGTTGCAGAATCTATGGGACTTGCTAACCAGAATTTGCCATGAATTCTCAAAATATTCTATTTAGGGCCTATGTCAGGTGTTAATCACTTCCTGACTACATATTTTCAAGTGTACATTTCAGATGCCGCTGCTTATGGTGGCTTGATAATGATTCTGCAAAGGACTAAAGTAATACAAACCAAAAGTGAAACTTACGTACAGGAATCTTATGTCTCGAGGTGATCTTAGAGAAACTGCTGCAAGTTGTGGTAGGGAAAATTGCAAGACGCGCCTGTGAATTGAGTTGGTTAATTATATGTTTATTCGTTTTTTTTCCTTCACCGAAAATGTATTTCGAGTGGAAGAAACGCTGTAGATACTAATTTCTTTTGTGATATCGTTCTTTTTCTTCGTTCGGATGGCGATTGACAAATCTAAGGACTAAGGAATACACTAAGCTTGAATGAGACATAAATTGTAAGACATAAATGAGAATGGACCTTTGATGTTATATTTCCTATTATAATCCATGGTTAAAAGTGAAGGTGTGAAAATTGATTGTAATTTAACTTGAAATTATAATTTTACACTAATTTTTTGTTCTTATTAATGTTGGTGTTTAAGTGTATAACAAATGCATTACATCTTAATAAAAATATTATTTTTAATTGCTTAAGGAGGATTAATATTTTTAAAACCATCAAGTTAACATTAAGGGTGTGTTGGTTTTCCGTTGGTTCTTACAAAACGAGACTTTATAATTCGAACCAATCATTGTAAACGTGCTCTCAGACCAATCTTTTGGTTTCCCTGAAAGCTCAATTTTTTTGTTAATTGAAAAACAAATATAAGCCTTCTTCATTATTACTAAAACGATTATTAATTGCCGTTGCTTCTTAATTAAGAGATAAATTATTAAAAAATATAAATAAAATAAACATTTTTACCCCCTTCCGTGCCTACTGCACAGTCCTTCCCTTTGTCTTTCAACTGTAATCAGCAAATTCCTTCACTGGCCTACAACAGTTTACACAAACTTATATTCGAGGCAAAAAAATTCTATATAGTGCATTGTTTTAAGATTTTTATTCTTTTGCATGAAATATCACAATTCAAAATATTGGATATTCAAATTGCTCTTATCCCATGGACAAGAACCGTTTCTGGAGTGGAGATGCTAACGTAGGCAAGAAGTCTTTTGGCTGAACTCAGCTTCATAGATTCTTGGGTACCACATTTGTAAAACAAATATTTCACCAACGCTACAAAAATATTATTTTGTCGAATGACAAGGGACAGCTCGGAGTTTACTAAATAACATGTTCTAGTCCACTGATCATGTTTGATTGTTACTTAGTGCTATCAGTAAGCACATGTTTGCCACCCATGATACAGTGCAAAATGCTTTTATCCTCATAATGGAAACAATCCGCTATATTTTAATTCACTTTGTTTCTTCTTCGTTCACTTCATATTCTTCATCATCCTCGTCCTCGTCCTCGTCATCGAGGTTACTGGTTTGAGAGAATTTGCTTAGCTCAAATCTACCATCATCCCCAAGGAACTCAAATCCGAAGTTTATGTTACGTTGCTTAACCAAAAGCCAACGCAGCAACCGGTCTTCCTTGTTTAGGTAATGCAACTCTTTGTTGATTTCTGGTGTAGCCATCATGCTCAGTTGCATCAATAGGCCCTACATCAATTGAAAAATGGCAACACAGTACATTACAATTACATAACTTCCATTCAAACTAAACAAAGTTTGCTGAAACTTCACTGGCATCATGCAGATTCAATAAACATTTCAGTGTCTCATCATAAGTATGCAAATTTGATCCCCCACAATGCTCTCTACCCCTTTCTCAATCCCTTATCCTCCCCCTCCCCGGCTTACTAAGAATCTTCCTTTAGGCAAAATAAATATTATAAATTAACCAATTTTCAATAGGATGTTCCAATCCACTTGAGTCACATTAGGTGGAATAGTAGTATAGTACTAATAATCATAAGCTTATTCAAATACATCCAATAAATCAACATCTACAATATATATACCACCTCAAACCTAGAGTTATGTGAAACATTTATCCAATTCATTAACATTCATCTGGCAAATTTTTAAGCTAGCACTGTTCATGACTAATACAAACCCAGATAACAAAAAAAACTTCCACTGCATAATAAATGAAAACAGACAGGTTATATGAAAAAAAAAGGGATCTACAAGAGAAATAAAAAAATGAAAAGCATTACCAACATAGCACGAACAGAAGAAGGTATCAGAAATCATGAATTTCACCTGATAATATCTTCCATCAAGCTTTTTCACACCATATCCCAATTGAACCGTTCCAAGACTCTTAACATCAGTGACAACGCCATTTCTTCTATAAACATGTTTTCCCACCCTCACAACTAAATCCATCACCGCTTCCTTCCTTATATGCGGCTTAAACAGAAACATACAATCGTAAGGAGGCATCTTCTTCCTCCTCCTCTGCATCACATTACAAACGTTCCCAATATATAATCAGCACAAAATCAAATCCTATTAGTATCACTAAATTATACGATTAAATCATTAATCTTCCTTCTAACACAATCAGCAACACTATGAATCAAACATTCAACAATGGATGAAGCCATGCGCACAAAATTTGTACCTTCAATGCCAGTTATGAAAGAAGCTTCTGCAGAAAACGAAGATGAAAACTGAAGTGTCCCAGAGAGCGAAGTTAGGGTAATATCCATCAAACGACTTCGTTTCTTTTTAATCCTAGCTGGGCTTTCAGATTGGGCTCCTACTAGAATTTTAAATTGGGCCTTGAAACTGAACTGGACGCTTGGATTGGGGTGGGCTCGTACGAATTTGATATGGGGAGTCTCACGACGTCGTTTACTTCATAATAGTTCTTGAAAACAATGTTCATTACAGTTTACTTCTTCAAAATTTAGGTACTACCTATTAGGCATGCACAATATTTAATCTGTTTCATTAACCTTTTTCGGCCTCTATATTAATTTAGATGAATTTATATTTTTATAATTAGATTAGATTTATTTTGAAGAAGAGTTTGAATTATATTATAAAATGTTTTAATTTATACTTGATTTAATTATATATAATATTAAATGTATTTTGTGTTTAAATCTCAAACGAAAATTGTATTAAATACTTTAAATAAAAATATAATAATTTTATTTAACTAAAATAAAATTATTTCTAATAATAAATATTTATAATTAATTTAAATACTTAAAAGAATAATTTTGTCACTTAAAATAATCCTACACAACTTGAGCAAGATTAATATATTAATGATTTTTTTAAAATTAATATATTTTATTCATTTTTAAACTTATGCAATATCATATATAATAAAAAGTTATGTATAGTAATATTTTATTAAATATTATATTTAATAATATTAATATATTAAATTTTATAATATTTAATAAAATGACTATATATATATATATATATATATCATTGTTATATATAATATTGTACAAATTAAAAAATATTTTATTTATAAATTAAATTAATCGGGTTGTATCTTAATCGAGTGGGTTTGGTCCAAAAAAATCATGAGTTTGGAAATGGGCAAAGAGCGAGCGACGTAAAGCTGTCCTAACGAGTACGACCAGAGTCCTTGTGACGTGTAAAGGGTCGTGTGTTGCAGTGAAGCGGCAAATGAATGCATCATTGAAATGACTCCATTATTTACACTCTCTCTTCACCGTTCACTGAATCGTTTCGATTTTGAAATTGCGTTCTCTTATGGCGGAGCAGCAGAACGTGATTCTTCCGACGTCGGTGGAGAATCTGATAGATAGCATTTGCAAGGAACAGAATCAGCTTCCACCGGATGCCAAACTCCGTCGCCAGCTCGCCGCCATCGGAGAGCAACAAGCTCTTCACATTCTATCTAAAATCTCAAAAAACAAAATCCGACACACTCTCTCCGCATTCATCCTCCACATGCTCAAACAACAATCCCTTCCTCTTTCTCCCTCACCTCCCAACCCCACGCGCCCTCCTCATTCCTCGCTTCTACACGCGTTGGGAGAGTTAGAGTTCCGCAAGGCCTTTCTGCTCCTCAGTTACGCCGGAGGGTAACTGTTAACTCGTTCGTTGCCGTGCTGACTCAGCATCTCTATCAAACTAACAGATTCTGTTTTGCTTCCTTGCTTTGTTGCAGAGAGTGTCTTGAGAATGTTACCACTGCTGAATATATTCGGAGCCTCAAAGACTTGCCCATGGCTACGTTCGAGAAAACAGTGTGGGAAGCTGTGGGCCAAAAATGCGTCAACCGTGAGAGTGATCGCCGTTTGGTAAACGTCATGTTCCGGTCACCGGTTCAATTGTTTTTTTTTTTTTTTAAACTGAGATTCTTCTGAACTTGAATGATTAACTGTTATGGTAGTTTTCGATTTTTTGAGGTTTTAAATAGTTACAATATTTTCTCTTACTTGATTTTTACTACTAAAACTAAATTAAAAGACAAAACGTTGGTTGTATTAAAAAATATAATAGAATTAAAATGTATTATTGTGCATGATGCTGAATATTTATCATGTAGTGTTAGCTATCTTCGTGTTGTTAGCTAATGCTTACTTGCGAATTTTAACTTTGGTTTCTTCAGTATGTTGATTGGGATTCTGGCAAGTCACACGTATATCATTGCTACGTTTCTTCAGATGGGAACTTAAGGTTCAAGGTTTGTATGTCTTTCTCCTCCTTTGGATTTGAGTGGTAGTGTTGAAAAATTTGTAATTGTGATTGTGGATATGATATCTCCCTATCCCCTGGCTTCAATGCATGATACTGAATGTTCAGATTGTTATATTGTTATTATTTTAGATTTTTTTTACCGATTTGATTGTCTATTTCTATGCCAATTATATTATTGCCTCTTTATTTGAATTATAATTCAGGGTCCTATTTTGCAAAGCATGCGAACTCACCTACAAAAATGTCTGGGTGATGAGAATGTTTTGCTTGTAAAATTTGACGACGATAGGAGTGTAAGGAATGTAAGGACCAGCGCTGAAGAAGCTAATGCTCTGTATGGGAAGTTTGGAAAAGAAGGGATCTGTGTTGGTCTTCGTTTGTATCGCTTTTTTGGTAATCATATTTCTTGCTAGTTTCACTGTTCTGGGTTTCCTTTTCGGGGTTTCTATGATCCTGAAGCCAGTGCATTTTTTTCATTCAATTAAGATGTAAGTAGTCTGGGCTATATGCATGTTCATTTATTCAGTGCAACAGATCTAAACTATAAGTTTACAACCCCTTGATTTGCTTTATATCTTCTTTCCTCCCATGTTTTATAAATCATTCTACTCTCTGCCTATTGCCTAATTATCTGTGGTTTTATACTATACATAACACACATCCAATTTCTGAATTTTTTCTTGCTCAATAATTTTCTTTAATTTAATGTCAGCTTTGTAATCAAATGATTCAAATCTTGGGTTATTTTATACAAAAATTACTATTCTATAAATGGCTTCCTATAGGCTGTCATTATCTAAAGTTTGAAAATCTTGCTCTAAAGATGCATGTATTATAGTTATAGGTTGTTATGTAAGAGTATTAGTACGTCTTTGAGTTAATTTATGTAGCATGGTAAATATGTCTGGCTTCCCTCTCTCAATCCTGGGCTACCTTTCAGTCCTTCAAGAGTTCATAATTAATATGAAAATGCGTTTCTTCCTTTTATCTTTCTGTTTATATGGTCTTGTATTACAGTTGATATATGGAAAGACATAAGTATGTGGATTTGGAATGTTGATCCTTGCATCTTTTCCCTCAAATCCTTTTATTGGTTCTTGTAGTTTGTTTATCATTTGGTGGTTTCTCTGCTCTCATGCACAAAGTCAGCCAAGGTTTTAAATTGCATTTGTAGTTATGGTTGCATGCATTGTGGGCTAATGCAGTTGTTGCACTCCATGATTGTGGGGAGTTGCCGTTATTGCAGGTGCCCCAGTTGTGGCTGCATCAGGTGATGCAGACCAAGGTTTGAAACCTTGGCCAATTTTTTTTTTGTCTAAGTAGATGCAAGCACTTGAATATAGGTTAGTGGAGGACATTGTACACAGTTGTAAAGCGCCTGTTCCCAATACTAGACTAGTTGAGCTTCAAGCTCATTGGCTGCAGAAAGAATTCTTAAATAATTACATTGTCATGACTCTGATTCTATCTTGTGTGATGTTTAAGAAATCTCTAGTGATTGATATAACATGTTTCTCAAATTTTCTATCAATTGAGCAGTTTTTAAAGATGGTGGAAAGGAAGAGAAGAAGAAGGACCCAACAACTTCATCTGTGAAATGTTATTTTGTTAGGATAGAATCATATTGTTCTGTAGATGAGAGTGCATCTTACGTATTGTCAAACAAGACAATGTTTGAAGCTAGATCTTTATTCATGCATGTCCACACGTTACCTAGTTTGGACAAGTATATGGCTAGGTATGGTACTTATGCAAATACTATCTTTTATAATTTTATCTTTCTTTTTTATTGCTCCCACCTACTCAAAATAGGTTTGATGCAAGGTACTAACATCATAGACATTCAGGTTCTCTCTCATTCTGTCAAAGACATTAAAACTCGACATTGACTTGGCAACTGTAAGTGTCAAAACAATTCAAGATGAATATTGCAAGGTAAAGTCAATTGTAAGTCACCTTAAAAGGTTTTATAATTTATTAGGACTGATAATTCAATTTGTTTATCTATTAACCTTTCAATTCATTCATGTACAAAATCAACAACTCATACAATGATAAAAATCAAACTTAATAAATGGGTTGGATGGGATTATCATTTATTATTGGATAGGTAATGAACTATCCACAATATTTTGTAATCCATTAGGTTAAGTAGTCTAAAGTCTAATAGTTGGACATGCGTGTTGTCAACTCCACAGTATTGAATGTGTATAAATATTAAATTTTATTTTATAATTTTTTAAAAAATATAATAAATTTTAAATGGATGGGTTGGATATCTATCATTAAAAATGGTTAATGAAGGGTTAGATGGATTTTTATTAAATAAGTTAAAGATGAATTTAAATTTTTTTAACAGATTTTTATTGTATGAAAATGAGTTAATGATTTATATTTTTTACCCATTCATTACGATTTGGTTCAAAATTTACTCAATCCTACCATTTGACACTTCTATAATTTATGGTAATGGTTGCAGAAAATTGTTTTATTTTAATTATTTTTTCTGTTTAGGATGAAAATGGCAATATTGTGTATGATAATGGGAAACCACGTATCCTCACTGATGGAACTGGGTTCATCTCAGAAGATTTGGCATTGCTCTGCCCTAACAATGTATCAAAAGGAACAAGTGTAGAGAATAAATATATCCAGGTCTCTTTTCTTTTTCATTTGCCATTCCATTATACTTTTGCTTTTCAATTAATTTTGTTTGGTGTGAAGCATGGAATATTGATGGAAAATTACAGTTTTTTCCCCTCAAAGCTGATGTAAATTATAGTTAAACTGTGATACTCACATGCTAGTATAAAAGTTTTTTAAGTCTGAAGTTGAGGTATGGAAGGAAGAAGTTTTGGTCAAATGCTTGTTATGTTCCTTTGTATTAATTTGTGATTGCACATAATCAACTATTTTGAAAGAATAGAATGTCTTCAATGGATTAAATCAATGGGAGAAAAAATGAATTTAAGAAAATGTTTCTTTTAGAAACCTTTTAGATACTTATTTTTGATTTATGTCTTTACTAGTTCATTACACATGCTGTCTATATTTTAAACATCTTTTTTGTTCTTCTTGCCTAGGCTTTCTTTTATTCTGCTTCTGCCTTTATTGTTGTTACATTTGTCTCAAAAACTTAAATTTTAACTTGCTGTGTGGGCATATAGATTTCAATATGTTTTATGATCTAATTATATCATTCTTTTATTTTGTGTTATGACCGCCTTTAAACTTAGGAAATACGCAATCTCGTTGAACTGGAGGATATGAGTAAGGCAATGATAGAAGCAAAACTGAACACACATCAGCTGGTAGATACTTTGTTTTTCTTTTGCCTGTTGACTTGTTTTATATGTGTACCAATGCTGTGTAAAATGGATTGATATTAATATAACTTATTCTCTTAACTCCTGCTATCAAGCCTTTGCTGATTCAGTGTCGTCTCTTTCACATGGGTAGTGCAATGAAGGGTACACTTTTGGTTAACAGAAAGGTATACTTTTTACAGACTCTTTTGGTCTAATTGATTTTGTCTTCAGTATACTTTTAGCGTATAATACAGACTGCCTAGTTAATTTCTAAGTGTTGGTTGAGTGATTTTGAAGTGTTCATGATGATATGCTTAAACAAAATATTTATATATCATCAGTATTTTGTACTTTCTGGGATTCCAATATTTTCACCCCAAATGATTTCCACAGATTTACACTGTTCTTCTCTGTGATTAAATGGATCTTGTACTCTTGTATGACAGAACAGATAAGACAGGCTATGTATTTATAAATTGCCAATATAATCTTGGTGGGCACAGAGGCCATTTTGTGAGATTTTATTGAACTGTATGATCCAACAATGTGCAAGTTGGTCTTATAGCTCTTCTCCGATAGACTTTTTCTTTAAGTTTGAGATGTGCCTTGCTATCACAATTCATGAGCAACACCTACAACATTTTTCCATTTCAAGAGTTAATAATTGGGAATATTCACTATTTTGTTAATGTTTGTTGTTCAGCTTTGTGTAGTTATGTTTGTTTTATTTAGTTCTCATTTAATTATACTGGTTGTGATTCTGTATTGTTATTTTTTAATCTTTCAGCTCCCTCCTAGGACAATACAGGTTCGGCCTTCAATGATTAAAGTTGAGACAGATTCAAGCCTTCCAAATATTCAAACCATAAATTCAATGGAGGTAGTGACTACAAGGTATTTAACTTTCACATTTTGAGAGTGCTGGTATTTGTTGTTCTTGCTATTAATATTACTTGGGCTTTGTCAGATATAAGTGTCATTAATTGGCAAGATGGATTATATATATAATATGACTCTTGTTGAATGTTGAAGACTGGAGTAGTTTGTTTATATTTATGATATTCTTCATTACGGCTACACGTCAGTATTATATTTTTTATGACTTTAAAAGCTTGAACTGAGAGGATGTGTCCTATCACACAAGCTTGTTGATATGGTAACATCTGGTTTGTTCAAATGATATGCTTTATCAGGATGCATCACATTAGATTTGCACTACAAAAATGTGCACATACAGTTGCTTGACATCTACATGTTTGCCAATTTGGGCTTTCACCATTCAGGTTTCTATTGCATGAGTTTGTTAATTTGGTGTGGTCCACAACTGACATGGTGTACTACGTTGAAACCTGAATCTTTTAAGAATAAAATGGCTTAGAATGGCCTATATTGTATGTTTTTATTATCTAGAGGAAAAATTATGGTTCTTGGAATGCATTTATCTCTTCCATTAATATATTTATTTTTAAATGATATGCTGATTCTGTGTTGCAATGTTGCCTAACCAACTCGCTCAGTGATAGTTTTACATTGTTTGAAAGCCAGCTGATATGCATCCTACATATTTCAGCAACAAGCCAAATAGAGCATATTTATCTAGACAACTGATTACACTTCTAAGCTATGGAGGGGTGCCAAATGAATTCTTCATGGGTATACTTCGGAGTAATTTGGAAGATGCAGACCTTGTCTACACCAAAAAGCGTGCTGCACTCAGAGGTAGTTCTTGTACATATTTATAGTCACTAATACTTCTTTTGGTATTATTTCTTCAAAAGATGCTCTTTATTTGGATACAAATCTAGTTGTTCTGCTACTAAAATGTGTGGGAACCCCTGCTCAGTACTGTTTCTCAATTGTTGGTTTACGTGCAGCTTCTATCAACCATGGTGAGATGGATGAATACAATGCAGCAGGAATGATTTTATGCGGCATTCCTCTAGATGAAACATTTTTGCAGTATCGTCTTTCTATACTTGCGAAGGCAGAAAGGAAGAGACTTAGGGGAGGGAAGCTTTATGTACCTGATTGTTTCTATTTAATGGGGACTGTTGATCCCACTGGAAGCCTGAAAAAGAATCAAGTTTGTATAATTCAGTAAGCATAAATCTTAAAATCTCTTAATTTTCCTAATAAATTAACCTTTCAAAGGACAACTTGGTGCTATAAAGCTCTTGCCATGGCGAGTTCTAGGGAAGGGTTGTATCAATTATGGTCTATTGTAGGCAGTCTTACCTTACATTTGCAAAAGGCTGATTTTCATGATTTGAACCTGTGGCCCTCTTAAGTACATGGCAGGAACTGTAACTGTTGTTTCTATTTATTGGGGACTCTTGATCCTGCGGAAGCCTGAAAAAGAACAATTCAGTATGCATAAATCTCTTAATTTTCCTTAATTAGTTAATCTTTCAATGGATAATTTGGTGCTATAAATCTCTTGCCATGGTGAGGTCTTAGGAAGTGTTGTACCCATTATGGTCTATCGTAAGAAGCCTTACCTTACATTTGCAGAAGGCTGATTTCCTTGATTTGAACATGTGGCCTCATATGTACGTGGCAGGAACTGTAACCGTTGCGCCAAGGCTCTCAAAATGTTAAATGGGGGTTTATCTTCAAAGCCTATGAAGTTAAAATATTTGATGACATGCATCTCCTGCATAAGCTGTTGCAGCTGTATTGTTTTCTTTCATATTCCCACTTAAAATTGGGTGCATCGATTGTTGTTTGATAATTGCATGTTTCGTAATTTGAGTGATGCTGTTATATGAAAATTTGTACAATTGGTCTAGTTCTTTTCTATGTTTCATATGAGAAAAGTTTAGTTTTTGCTATAGATTCTTAATATATATGTAGTTATGTATATATAATTATACAGTAATATCATATATTCTTTGCTAGTCATATCTACCTTTTGTTGTTTTTGTGATGTTAATGCCATAAGTGCAATTCTACCTTTAGCTTACGGAAGAGGGAAGGTGCAGCTAATCATCTAAATGGTTTACAATATTGATAAACAAATATAAAATAAAATGATCATATTCAAATGTGTGCATGGGACTGATGTTTGCAGTTTAATATAATCATGTCCGTGCTGACTGTTTCATTCCTTTTTTTGTAGTGAAAATGGCCAGATTACTGGAGATGTACTGGTTTATCGAAATCCAGGTCTACATTTTGGTGATATTCATGTAATGCATGCCAGATCTGTGGAGGGGTTAGAATCCTTTGTTGGACACAGCAAATATGCAATTTTTTTCCCATGTGTTGGGCCTCGCTCTGTGGCAGATGAGATAGCTGGAGGTGATTTTGATGGTGACATGTACTGGGTTTCAAAGCATCCTGAGGTTTCAAATTCAATTTTAGTTTGAAAGCCTTCTTCATTTTCTTACAATATCTAATCATATTAAAGGAATTGTAATTTTTTTTTGTGTTTTTGTTTATACTAAATGCTAATTGTTACCCTTTCCCTTTTTCCCTTTGCAAACTTGATACAAAATTGTTTGTAAGGCTTATAATAAATTTGAATTGAATGTATGGGGTTTTTGCTCGTTACTTAAATTTTTATCAGTTAATAAATATTTCTTAGCAAACAATATTGGTGCTATTAGCCGGTTAAGTTCATTCTGAGTGATGTTTTACAATCTCGATAACAGTATTTTTTATTCACTGCCCTTAGATATGTTTATAGTTTTCTCATTTCCATTTATATACAGAATATGGTATCATCTTAGTGAACAGTTTTCTCTTGCCTCCCTAACTATTCTTTCTAGATGTATAATTTATAGGTTATGGAGATAAAACCTAATCTGGTTAATATGGAATATTCACCACCTCAAAAATAGATTTCAATTTAGAGAGTTTGTATCTGTATTTTAATCTGATTAAAGATTTCAGAGTGATTTTGAGAAATGCAGTTGGGTCGGACCTAAATACACATTGGGTGTATGAAACTGAAAGACAATTAATAACATGCCATGGGCAGATTGTAGTTAGTTAAAGAGGGAACCAGAGTAGTTACTTCTCAATATATTTTTAAATTTTGAATTTTATTTCAAACCTTAATTTTTCTGTATTTATTTTTACAATTGGATGAGATGAAAGGTACTCAAGAAATTTCATTTTTAAGGTGTATTTTTTCTGCGGGAAAGTTCTGTAGCACATATTAAAGGAGTGTTACTGAAATCAAATCATTTTCATGTGACTAGTGCCTCTCATATTGCCTGATGTGTTGGTTTGTGTCTTGTTTGCCTTATGGATTGGCCCATGTTGAATGATTAGTTTGTTGAAGGCTATTCAAAATATTGATAACCAGGTAGCAGAAAAGCAATGAGACTCAAACATGGGTTGCTTTTTCACCGGCTGAAAATTCCTTGAACTGATTTTTCCATTAGTTGGCTTTACATTATCCAATATTGTATTTCTTACCATTTTGGTAGAGTTGGAATATTAGGGGTCATGGTGATTAGGTTTGGATTAGTTTAAAAGGAATGGCTTCGAAAATTGTTGAATTATATGATGGGATGGGCTGTCGACCCTAGAAGTCAGACAAAAGACTACATTAGTCCAGTATAATCAATTTGAGTAACAGAGATTTTAATATAGCTTATTCGGTTCTGCCTATCTTTCTCAAAACTGAAGCTCAGGATCTTCATCATGTTAAAAGTTGATATCCCTTTATATTATTATGTTGTCTTTGTGTGTTTGCTGAGGAAGCTGATATTAATTTAAAGTTTCCTTTATATTGACATGTCATGTTTTAATTGTTTCAGCTATTACAATATTTCAGAAAGAGTGACCCTTGGATCGAACGGTCTTCTGTCAGATTGGATTCTAATGTTAGAAAGCCAAGTGCATTTTCGGCTGAGGAACTTGAGGAAGAACTTTTTAGACTATATCTAGAAACTCGGTTTCAACCAAGGTGTGCATGTGACTATGTACATAGTATTAACATCTTGCTTTCCTGAAGTAAAAACAGATTTGTGCAGACATAATTAGGCCTGTATATGTCATATATTCTAGATATGCCATTTCTTTTGAATGTAGCCTGAAAACCTTTTAATGCATTAGAGTATGTAGATGCTGAGTCTTAAACATTTCAATGATACACCACATTGCCTTCTTAATAGTTTCTGTTGTGCAGTTATAGTAGTGATTTGTAGCGTAGACATTTGATACATGAACTTTGTCCAGGATATCTAGTTGGTAAAGAAGATTTTTTTTTCAGTTTCAATTCTATGATCTATATGTGAAAACTAGTTCTCTTTTACAGTAGCACAATGGGTGTGGCAGCTGATAGCTGTGTGGCACTCATGGACCGTCTTTTGACGTTAAGAAATGATTGCTCCAAAGAAAATGAGAAGGAGCATGTGAAGGAGAATATACTTAAGTTGATTGATATATACTATGTGGCATTGGATGCTCCCAAGAAAGGTGGAAGAAAGGTTAGTTTTGTATAAATCTTTGGTTGCTTTATACTCTACCTATAAAGAATACTTTATCCTCGTTATACTAATGTTATAATAAGCAGTTGGGCTGATGTCCCCGTATTACTAGACATGTTTTTTTTAACGAAATCTACATATATCGCTATTATTGTACTGCTTTTGTGCTCAAGTTGTTGCCATACTTGATGATTCCGTGCCCTTGGAGCAAAAAGAGTGACTAGTGTGGACTTGTGCTAGGATTTTACAGATATTTGCATTTTGGGATGTAGGTAATGACAGCTATATGCAAACAATGATCATAAAGTTGAAATGTTCAAAAACATGATGAACCTTGACCTATGCTTTATCATAGAAAATGCTTTTAACTGTGTTAATATTTCTGTCACAAGATATCTTATATCTTTGATGGTAAGCAATATTATAATTCGTTGATTAATTCACAACTGCCGTAATGCCCTCTGTCTACATTGAGCACAAATCTTACTAGTACACAATTTTGTGTACCAGTGTGCATATTTACTATGTCATAAAAAAACTACAAGTATTGTTTGCATGTGCTCGCTACTTGTTATTAGTTTGTAAACAATTCTTAAGGATTTGATGATAATCAATTCTCTGCTATCCTTAATGATTGCTGTGAGATGGATGATTGTTAGGCCACATGAATTCAGTTTTAGCTTTGTAATTTTTCACAAATATTTGATTTCATGTAATAGTTTTACTGAGTTCTATTGATAATTCTTCAACAACAGATCCAAGTTCCAAAAGATTTGGCCGTAGAAATGTTCCCGCACTATATGGAAAAGGATAGATCATTCACTTCAACCTCTATCTTAGGTTTAATATATGATGAGGTTAGCAGATGGCAAACTAAAGACATATCCATGAAAGGTGAGGACACAACAAATTCACTTATTTATTTAAAGTAAGAATGTATCTACTGTTAATTTTAAGTTAGTTAAGATTATGAGATACTTCAATTCAAATTTAACGACAGATGCACTTTTACTTTTCTGCTTTACACATTTGTTCACTTTAGAGAAGCTAATTTATTTCTGCAAAATTGTATAATGTGATGCCAGATATCTCCATAACATTTATGCTTAATTTTATCAACTCACCTTTCAGCTTAATGGATTTTCACTTTTTTTTTGGTCCATGCTATCAGAAATTAGAAAACTCTCTTGTTTTGATATTGAAGTACCTTCAAGCTGTATGCAAAAGTGGGAAACGCTATATGAGGAATATAGGAAGGATATGACTAATGCCTTAAAGGACAATTCTAGAGCCAATGATGAGGCGGCTGAAGTCATTAGAATTTATAAGGAGGTAAATATTCACTTTTTCTTTATTTCCCCATTCTTTACTTTCATTCATTAACTCCCTAGAAGTTCTCTCATTCTGAGGTGCTGATTGGAATCTCTCTTGCAGAAATTGTATGGTGCTGCTAATATGGAGGATAGTCCGAAGAATATTAGGGATATTTATAACGAGGCTTTGGCTGTGTATCACGTTACTTATAACTACGCCATTCAAACGAATTCAGTCAGTAAATGTTCCTTTGCATGGACGGTTGCAGGTTCAGCACTAACAAGTCTTTATACCATAAAACAAAATGAAAAGGCTTTGAACAGTGCTCTATCTGTATTGCGCGAGATTTTTGGTTCTTGAAATACGTTGTTAACCCATCGGCTGAATATTTTTACTAATTACTAATCATAGCAACAAATATTACTAGTAAACTGTCAATATTTTTCGTCTATGAAGCTTTGTGAAGTATACTATATACCTTTCTATTCATTGTAGTCGAGTCAGTAATAAATGATTATCTGTAAATAAAAATCCGTTATACCACAGAAGGGCAAATAATTATTTGACTAAATAACATATTTGATATACACCTGTTTGATCAAAGTAACTAATTATTTCTTATAACAGCATTTTTTTCATATAATTAACTATTAGCCTTCGAATAAAAAAGTTGTCATAACATGAGCAGTTGTCATATTTTTTATAGTTTGAGAAAATAAGGCAGCAAGTATTAAATTTATGCTGAGTTAATAACAATAAATGATATAGAATGGAAACGACATTAACTGTATTTGTTTTAATCGTTTAAAATAAAAAAAAATGCTATCTAATAAAATATACTTCATTATACATTGTATTGAGAAAAAATTTATAGAAATAAATTGTTTGATTTAAGCTCGTTCTTTTTATATCTGTTAATTTGATATAATATGTCAAGTTTATAGTTTTACAAACATTAAAATTAAGGTTGATTAAGACAATAATAATTTTCAAAACATAGTTTATAAAATAATCAGATCCCTTCAATTTGGTGTGGTATGCTAAGATTCAAACTTCTAAATACATTCCAAATTCAAATTAAGATTCATTAGTAAAAGTTGGAACGAATAAAAAATATAATTTAAAAATAAAATAAGATACCGAAAATGAAGAATGTAACGTGAATAATTCAAACTTCTAAATACATTCTAAATTCAAATTAAGATTCAGTAGTAATAGTTGAAACGAATAAAAAATATAATTTAAAAATAAAATAAGATACCGAAAATGAAAAATGTAACGTGAATATAAAAATTAACTCTTAAAAATTATTTTGATTTAAGAGTAAGTACTGAAATTTGAAATTCAAAAAAAATATTTATCTTTATTATAAATTTTATCTTGTAGGAAATTTAAATTGGTAGAGAAAATAATATATAAAATTTATTATTTTGATATACAGTAAATATAATTTAAAATAAAAAAAATATCATAACCTTAATTTTATGAAGGTGGATTGGAGTTTGAACTTGAAAATAAAGCCCATAGATAAGAACTCTCTGGCCCAAGGGAGGATCCGATCGTGGCATTAAAATTATACCGAAGAAGGATAACAGATACATCGATATTAAACATCGCCGTCGCTATTCTTGCAGGTTCGTAGTTCTACTTCTAGTTAGGGCTTTCTCCTTTTCAAATTCAACAACAAAGCTTCTTCAATCTTCATCTGTTCTTCCAATTAGGATTTTTAATCCATAATTAGGTCTTCGTTTTCCTATTATTTGCTTCGCAATTTTCGTTTTCTCACAGAAACCATGGCGGCTCTCAAAGAGCTTCTACCTCCAGCGAAATCCTCCTCAACCACTTACTACGATCACACCAACGACCCATGGTTCAAGCAGCGATTCTCCTCTTCCGACGAGGAAAAAACCGCTTCCATCAAACTCAAGCCCGTTCCCCCCTACCTCAAGCGTGCCGGTTTCGTCCCTCGTAAGATCGAGGATTTCGGCGATGGTGGAGCCTTCCCGGAGATCCACGTCGCTCAGTATCCTCTCGACATGGGAAGAGACAAGGCCTCCAAACCTGTCTCCAAGATCCTCCCCGTCACCGTTGACGCTCACGGCAACGTCGCTTACGACGCCATCGTGAGGCAGAACGAGAACGCCAAGAAAATCGTCTACACGCAGCAGAAGGATCTCATACCTAAGATTCTCAAAAACGACGACGAAGACCTTGCTGACGTGTCCGATGACGAAGAGATGCAGAAGGAGGTTGAAGAAACGATGCAGGATACGAAAGCGGCTTTGGAGAAGATCGTTAACGTCAGACTGAGCGCGGCGCAGCCGAAAAACGTTCCCACTCAGAACTCTGATACGAAGTATATTAAGTACAAGCCTTCGCAGCAATCGGCGGCGTTCAATTCCGGTGCGAAAGAGAGGGTTATTAGGATGGTTGAGATGCCAGTGGATCCACTTGAGCCTCCGAAATTCAAGCACAAGCGTGTTCCTAAGGCTTCTGGATCCCCTCCGGTGCCGGTAATGCATTCTCCGCCGAGGCCGGTTACCGTGAAGGATCAGCAGGATTGGAAAATTCCTCCTTGCATTTCGAATTGGAAGAATCCGAAGGGTTACACCATTCCGCTTGATAAGCGTCTCGCCGCCGATGGGAGAGGCCTTCAGGAGGTTCAGATCAATGATAATTTTGCCAAGCTTTCAGAGGCGCTGTATGTTGCCGAGCAGAAGGCTAGAGAGGCTGTGGCTATGAGGTCTAAGGTTCAGAAGGAGATGCTTCTGAAGGAGAAGGAGAGGAAGGAGCAGGAACTGAGGGCATTGGCTCAGAAAGCACGGTCAGAGAGAATTGGCGTCGCCCCTCCGGCTGCTGTTCCTGTTTCTGAAAGGGGCAGCATGGATGATACTGATATAAGGGTTGATTATGAGTATCCGCGGGAAAAGGAGAAGAATTTTCCGAAGGAGACGAGAGAAGAGAGGGAGGAGAGGCTGCAGCGAGAGAAAATTCGCGAAGAGAGGCGTAGGGAGAGGGAGAGGGAGAGGAGATTGGAGGCTAAGGATGCTGCAATGGGAAAGAAGAGCAAGATTACAAGAGATAGGGATCGCGATATTAGTGAGAAAGTTGCACTTGGTTTGGCTTCTACTAAGCAAGGGACAGAGGTCATGTATGATGAGAGGCTATTCAACCAGGAGAAAGGAATTTCTTCTGGGTTTGCCACTGATGATCAGTACAATGTGTATGATCGAGGGTTGTTTACTGCACAGCCAACGCTTTCAACCCTTTATAGGCCGAAGAAGGATGTTGATAATGAGGCTTATGGTGGTGCTGATGAGCAGTTGGAGAAGATTATGAAGACTGATCGATTTAAGCCTGACAAAGGATTTGCAGGGACTTCTGAAAGGACAGGTCCAAGGGATAGGCCTGTTGAGTTCGAGAATGAAGAAGCTGATCCATTTGGTCTGGATCAGTTCTTGACAGAGGTAAAGAAGGGTAAGAAGGCCATGGAGAAAGTAGGTGGTGGAGGAACTATGAGAGCAAGTGGTGGATCTTCAACGCGTGATGGTTATGAGGGAGGTTCTGGTAGGACTCGCATTGGATTTGAAAGAGGACATTAATTAGCACATTGTTAAATGATGCCTATTTCTTATGCTTAGTGTTGATTATCTATATCCGCATTTTCCTCCAATCCTCCAGAGCTCATCTTTTAGGTGGTGACATAAACTGCTTTTTTATTCTGTTTTTAAACTGCGTTTGGATGTTATGAATATCTCTCTTTCCAGTGAATTATGTATTGAATGAAATGTAATATCAGTAGATATTGGAGGCATTCTGCTCTCATTTTGGAGAAGCTTTGGTCTGAATGAGGAGTGCTAGCAACATGATCTTTTAACACACTCTTTACTGATGATTAGAGTTCATTGAATAATGAACATGTTGTGATTTGACTAATTGACATAGTTGTTTGAAATTTGTGTAATCCCCTTCTCCTATAGATCTAGATTTATATATGTTAAGATCTGATTTGTGTACATTTACTGTCCTAACAAGAATTTTTGGTCTATGATTGACAAGGGTTGCTGGAAATGCATATTCACCTACCTAATTAAAATGCAGCACAAAGCGAATATATGTAGGCTACAACTTAGATTGAATTAATGATTCAAAGACCAATAAGGCGTTAACAGCTTAAAAGGTTGTATCACTAGATCGTTATCAGGTTATATCAGATGGCACAATAAATAATGTTGACGTTCTTTTGTACACTCTTTCACACATTTTTATTATTAAGCCAAATTCATTTCAAGGTCTTCACCGTTGTCTAATTTTTATCCCTTAACTTCTACTTTAATTCCAGTTACTTTTTTACCTGTTTAATTAGACTCATTAAACTTATCTAATAATAGGTGTGATATTCTAATATTGTTATTTGACAGAGTGCTGTTGCACTCTGTCATGAGAAAAGATCCTCACGTTACCCAAACACCCCTAGGCAAACCCAAACCCAAGTATAAATTCACATTTTATTTTAAAACATTTTTATGTAAAATATTTTTATTATTAATATAGTTATGAAAAAATAATATTATAAATATAAATCACTTTGAAAATAAACATTTAAGAGGAGCAACAGATACTCTGTTTTTCTCTTCGATTTCTTGACATTTTCCTTTTTACATTTAACTTTATTTTTTATGTATTGACACAATGTAGATATTTTGTAATAACTTTTAAAAAGACATTGCTTTGGTCCACGGATTTTAATTTATTTCAAAATGATATTTTGTCAAGAATTTTCCAATTATTGGTTTTTTCTTTTCGACAAAAAAAGAAAGCGCATGACATTGCTTTAAAGTCAATACATGGGACAGCCTCCACAATTAATTATTGCGTTTTTTCTATCCTTTGTACCTATTATGATAAGCTCATGACTCAGATAAGCAAGAAGTCATTATTTCATAAAAATAATAATCATTTACGCCAGAAAAAAAGAGGGGAAATTAAAGTAATTTAACTGAAAATAACTTCATATTTTGATCATACTGACTGATTAATTATTATAAAAGCATGCTATTTTTATATAATTGACAGTTAAGTCCTTCAATCCATATACATTTTTCTTTTTATTTAACATAAAAATCCATCATTTTTCTAATTGTTGTATTCGTCTATCATCTTTGGGTTACCTTGAAATAGTTTTTTTCAGAGTCAGTCTCTTTAAGTTAAAAATGAAAGGCATTAAACTAAAATTATGTTTAGATTTGAAAAAATAAATAAACATATAGGCAGAAATGATATTAACTGTAATAATATAAAAGTCCTAATATTTTTATTTTATCAATTAAAGAGATAAGATAAAATAAAATAAAAATAACTAAATATTATATATATATATTTTTTAATTATTTCATACATTTCTCAAATAATAAAAATATTTTATTTTTATTATAAAATATTAAAAAATATTCACCAATTTTTCACTCTAATTATTCTGTTTTTATTTCATTTAATTGCGCAATGATTGGTGAATATCCTTTGGTACTTGGAAAATATTCCCATTTATTGTGAGCAGACACCACTGAAACCCTTTTTGTATTTTCCCTTTCCTTTTGTTGAATAAGACATCGTCTTTGGGAAACACGTGTTCTAGAGGTTGCAATTTATTTTCCTTCACATCCATACTTATCCTGTAATTCTATATTATCCAAGGAATAAAATATAATTTCTAATATCAATATTAGAGAAGTGCTAATCTTTAAGAAGTTTTTAGGTGTAATTATATTTTTACTCTGACATTTCAAATTATGAAATGACTAATCGAATAAATATCCTAAACCTTAGAAACTTGATTAATCCGGTTAATTTCATAGTGTTTTCATGAGGAACTATTCCTGTGAAATAACACATCTACTATACATAACGACAATCTAGTGATCCACTTATGTATCTAATAACACAAAAGCAATGAAAGGATCGTTACTTTATTCATGAAATGAAGTAGAAGTACTACAAATACACTATTAGTATTCTTTTCTTTATCCTAATAGATAACGACACAACCACTTGCTTAATTTTCTTCCTTTGACTTTATTTATTTTATTGCCCATAATTCATGTCAATAAATAAAAGCAGTGGTGTGGTGTTGTGGAGCATTGGCATTGTCTTTGGCACTTCACATAGGGAGAAAAATATCATAAATAGTACTGTTGAGAATGGAGAGCACACTTAAGGCCTTGAGAGATGGTGAATCAGTACTTGATCTCAGCCCAAGATCCACTGTAAGTGGTGGTGTTGAAGATGTCTATGGTGAGGATCGTGCCACTGAAGACCAACTTGTCACCCCATGGAGTTACTCAGTTGCCAGGTCACTTTGATCACTACAAATAATGTTTCATATTTCACATACTTTTCTCAGTTTTTTGAGCTTCGTGGCTTTAATTAGTTATAAGTTAGTCTAGACTATAAGATTTCCCCCCCTTATTTTGTATACACGAGGGTGGTTAATTAGCATAAATTGAATTTGTGGAGTTCAATTATATTCTGACCTTTTAAAAACTTTCAAACACAACAATGATCAAATCTGATCATTTTTAACTTTTATGGGGGTGTGTGTGTTTTAATGGAGTGAATGACTTGGATTGTTAGTTAGAAGTGTTATTTCAAGTTCCTCGATTGTGTTGTGTCAGATGAAATTGTTGTTTGAGATTGTATAAGGTTTTGTGGTGCAGTGGCTACTCTTTGCTTAGAGATCCACAGTACAATAAAGGGCTTGCTTTCACTGAGAAAGAGAGGGATGCACACTATTTGCGTGGACTCCTACCTCCTACAGTTACCTCCCAGGAACTTCAGGTTTGCATTCAATGATGGATGAACTACGATTATTATCAATTATTTATTAGTTGACTATTTTTTTTTTTTTCCATTTTTTTTACACTTTAGGCCCTTTCCTCTTGTTTTGATTTCTTCTTTCAACTGTTCACAGGAGAAGAAGCAGATCAACAATATTCGACAATATGAGGTTCCCTTGCAAAAGTACATGGCTATGATGGAACTTCAGGCAGGCATTTTCAACTCATCTTAGTATTAGTTCCATTACACTGTATGAGAATGTTTCTGGTTAAGTCTGTCCCATTTGTTCATGATGTCATTACTTATAAGGTTTTCTCCTCCAATATGTGATGAATATGGAAGTGGCATATCATTCAAATATTTGATACTAAATGCTCTTTCTTTCAATCATGATCTTTTTTCGCCTTTTATGATAATGCCTTGAACTCTTTACTTATTTATCTTCACAAAAAAAGAACCAAATGTTGTTGGTGCCAATATGTTGTTCCTCTAGTTCTGAAAATTGAAAAGTGAAACAGCATGTTATGCTGGTCCACAGGAGAGGAATGAAAGACTATTTTACAAACTTCTCATTGATAATGTTGAGGAACTTCTCCCAGTTGTGTATACTCCTACTGTTGGTGAGGCTTGCCAAAAATATGGGAGCATCTTCAAGCGTCCTCAGGGTCTTTACATAAGTTTGAAAGAGAAGTATAAATTTCTTTATTCATGTGATTGTATGCCACTGGACTACATTTAATGCAGGGTCATTTAGCTGTTGGTATTTTTTTAGGGGGAAGATACTTGAGGTGTTGAAAAACTGGCCTGAGAGGAGTATTCAAGTTATTGTTGTAACCGATGGTGAACGGATTTTGGGACTTGGGGATCTTGGATGTCAGGTATTTTACTTGAATATTTCCTTTTGGAAATCAATCTCCTTGATATGATGAACTATGATTCAAGATATCAAGATATATATATATATGGTAAAAGTGGGTGGATGGATTAATCTTCACATAATGATGTTGGGTGTGTTTTAGGGAATGGGAATTCCTGTTGGTAAATTGGCTTTGTACACAGCGCTAGGAGGAGTTCGGCCATCAGCAGTATGCACTTTACTTGTTTCCTTTTGTTCTCATTATTAGATCATTATATGTCTCCTTTCTCTGCTGGGAACATTGTGAACCTCGTTAAGTGAGTAATAAAGTTCACTCATGTGAGTCATTTTCTGATGTTTTCTTTCTTTGTTTTGTGGCTAGTGTTTGCCTATTACGATTGATGTGGGAACAAACAATGAGAAATTACTGAATGATGAGTTTTACATTGGACTTAGACAAAATAGGGCAACTGGGCAGGTTGGTATAACTAACCTAATAACATTTGTGCCAAGTTGTTTTATCTTAATATACTATCTTTATCTGCATCATTTTAACTTGCATTAATCTCAATGCAATTTGGTTTCTGCTTTCCTCTTAGGAATATTCTGAACTTCTGCATGAGTTCATGACTGCTGTCAAGCAAAACTATGGAGAAAAAGTTCTTGTACAGGTTACAAATTCATTATGTGCTTAAAGTTTTTGAAATGTGAACTGTGTTCAACTTTAGTATCTGACTATTTAAAATTATTTTTTGGCAGTTTGAAGATTTTGCAAACCACAATGCTTTTGAGTTGCTTGCAAAATATGGGACAACTCATCTTGTTTTCAATGATGATATTCAGGTACTAGGTTACAGAAAGGCTAACATCTATATTTTGAAGATTGTTATGTGCATTAATGTTCTAATTTTTAATGCCTTATTATATCAGGGGACTGCATCTGTTGTTCTTGCTGGGGTTGTGGCAGCCTTGAAGCTCATTGGTGGTACTTTGGCTGATCACACATTCTTGTTCCTTGGTGCTGGAGAGGTATTTTCTCATCATTTGCGTCTTGATATCTATGCTTCTTTCCATGCTGCTCAAGCAAAAGGAAGAAACCAAAGGAATAGAATGAGTAGTACATAGTTTTGGAACTTTTAAATACTCTTTTTTTTACTTCTTTGTTTTATGGTTTATGGATGCAGAATCACACACATCATCTTTTGTTTTGTTGTTGGCAAATTAGTCTATCTAACACATTTCTTGTCATGTTTTTAGGCTGGAACTGGAATAGCAGAACTAATAGCTCTTGAGATGTCAAAACAGGTGAATAAGTTATTTGTTTATTTTATAGTAGTCATGATGATTTCTTGAGCTCATGTTCTTCTATTTATTCCTATAATTGGTGGTGCAGACAAAGACACCTATCGAGGAGACTCGCAAGAAGATATGGCTTGTAGACTCGAAGGTAGTAGAAAGCATGATGATAGGTTTTCATGAAAATTAAGTACTTTTTAATTTTTATGGTTTAGTCTAATTTATGCTATATTTTATTTTAATTGTTCAAGTTTCTCCAAAGTATTGCTTTTTCCTCCTGCAGGGTTTGATAGTTAGTTCAAGAAAGACTTCACTTCAACACTTCAAGAAGCCTTGGGCTCACGAGCATGAACCTGTTGACAATCTCTTAGATGCTGTTAAGGTGTCAAAATATGTCTGTTTATGACTTGTAGTAGGTTGTCCTTTGATGTGTCTCTATCCTTAATTAGATTACATCATCAGGTAATCAAGCCTACAATTTTGATTGGATCATCAGGAGTGGGAAAAACATTTACAAAGGAAGTAGTTGCGGCTTTGGCTTCTATCAATGATGTAAACACTTAGCTCTTCTTTTGCATGAGTTTTTTTCTTCTCTAGATACACAATCTTACATAGGAACTGTATCTCTGTTGTGTCTGGCCTGCAGAAACCTCTCATTATGGCTCTCTCCAACCCAACTTCACAATCTGAGTGCACAGCTGAAGAGGCTTACCAGTGGAGTGAGGTAAAATAAGACATACCCACATTTGTTCAAGTTCTTTGAATAGATGCAAATGATGAATGCTTCTATTTCTTGTACAATAAAAACTTCCATAACCTTTTTGTTTTCAAAACATAGGGTCGTGCGATTTTTGCTAGTGGGAGTCCATTTGATCCTATTGAGTACAAGGGCAAAGTTTACTATTCTGGCCAGGTTTTGCAATCCTCTTCATATTAACAATTAGCTCTATTTTATATGTCTATACAACATGATATCATATCTAAGTCTTGCCTTTGTCAATTCAGGCCAACAATGCTTACATTTTCCCTGGCTTTGGTTTGGGTTTGGTAATCTCAGGAGCAATCCGAGTACACGATGATATGCTACTAGCAGCCTGTAAGTGGATCACAAATTTATTGCATGGAACATTCTACAAACTCAATGTTTTGCAGTTCTTTCTATGCTCTTTGTTTCAAGCTTCTTTGATTGTTGGATATAGTATTTCACCATATATCTTCTTTGATTTGTTGATGACTTCTTAACAAGTATTTACTAGTGATTTGCAATGCTAAGACCTAAATAATGCTTTGGAACATTGTATAAAAATTCACAAAAGGAATGCTTAACATTATTCTCATGCAATGTATAGCGGAAGCCTTGGCTAAACTAGTGACAGAAGAGAACTACAACAAAGGCTTGATTTATCCACCATTCTCTGACATCAGAAAAATTTCAGCTAACATTGCTGCAAATGTTGCTGCCAAGGCATATGAACTAGGTTTGAGCTCATTGTCATAACTCTCTCATTCATATAAAATATAAATAATGTTATAACTGTTTTTCATTTTAAAATCAACAATTGTTTTTACTCTCATTGTAGGCTTAGCTACACGTCTACCTCGTCCTCAGAATCTTGTGAAGTATGCTGAGAGCTGCATGTACACCCCTGTCTACAGAAACTATAGGTGAATTATGAGAGAAATTACAATACACTCTAGCTGCAATAAATGTATGTCTAGCTGGCATATGTAGCTGTTTCATGTAGCTTATGCAAGAGTGAGTGGTTTTTATGCTTTTTACCTTAACTCATGAACCAATGCTTTGTATTATGAAATCCTAATTTAATCTCATGTCTGGCCAATGCTTCGCATTATGAACCCAAGTACCATGTAATGCTCTCTAATAACTAATTCATATGATATATTTAAGAATGGCCACATATTCTATTAAAATTCTGTAAAAACTGATATTCTATGTGATACCGTATACAACTATCATATTTTCACCCCTTTTATCTTTTTCGTATACATGCATTTTTAAAATTCTCTAAAACTAAAGGAGAGTCCAAAATATGTCCCACTTTAGATGTACAAGAAACATTTTTCTATTCTATTTCTAATATTTATCAAGGCTCGCTCTGTTAAGGTTATTTCTATCATATTTATACATGTTCACTCGTTAGTATGCTCAAGAAGCTTAGAATTTCTTTTGGGTTAAGATAAGATTTTACTTTTTGTTCGAAAAATCAATTGAAATGTTATACATACAAGGAACATAGTAGCAGATTGATCCAATGGGGTTGGGCTAGTAATGTGGGACGTGTGTAGTTTTCATGAGATCATATATGATCAGAACTCCTCGTCACGATTAGACCAAAAAAGTAAAACTCACACGTCACTTTTTAAAATATTCTTCACTCCAAATCCTTTCACTTAAACCAACAAAAAGGGTAATTAAAATTGTCACTACATCAGCCTATTTAGTCCATAATCATATTGAATTTCAATTTAAAGATTCACATTATTTGGTTTTCATTCTTTTGCATTTTTCATTAACATTATTTTTCTTTAACAAATAAGCTTAAGAAAAGTGGAAATGGCTTCATTTAAAAGTTGCAAGGCTTAAGCTGGTACATATAAAGTTATATTTTTCCTATAAATAAAGGAATTTCAATCTTATCAGTTAAACAAACCACCATCGTTAGCTAAATATAATTTTTTAAGATAGAAATTGATGGTAATATATTTAATGGTTAATATATTATAAAATTATTCCATAAAAAAATTGTTAATACATGTTATATCTTATTTGAATTTGTTTATCACTCTCAAACTACATCATAGCTTTTGGAGAAAATTAGTACCTCCATTTTGGTTTGAGTGGAGAACTATTATTGTCTTGTGGACAGCTATTTTTCAGTCAATTATGGACAACTAAATGGGTCTTTGCAGAGAAAGAAAAAAAAGTGTGGACCCAAAGTGAAAAAAGCCCAATTCTGTGTATTGGGCTTCAAATAACCGCACCATGAAAGACACTACTATAACATAATCAAGGGGTTGCTTTTTTCACCCCTACTTTTTCTGTATTATTTTTTTGGTAAATGCCCTTTCGACCAATGTTCTTCTCTTTCAACCCCGATTACTTTACTCGCTCTTCCCCTTTTTTTTTCTTCGTAAATACCCAATACTAATGTATTTCTTCTCATATGACTTCCCTTGTTTTCGTATAAAGTTCTCACCTACTTCCGAAATGTTGTGACTGATGTGAGTGTATTAAAAGTGTATAGTTAGAGGATATAAAGGCAAAGGAAACTTCAGTCAATATTATGTAGAAAGGAGGTAAACTTGGAGGGAGGGAGGGAGAGAGAGAGAGGAAGAAAAGGCATAAGTGCTCTGGGGTAGTTTAAAAAAAGTACAAAAGTTTAAAAGATGGTGAAGAACAAATGGAGTATAAAAGTAATCCCTTTGAATTAATGCATTTCAACAATAACTTATCTTAAATATGAAGAAGCAAGAAAATTAAAAATTTATGGGTATATATTTGTTAGTTAAAACCATTAATTCACAAGTTTAATGTGAAAAAGTCTTTTAATAGCGTCACTGATAAAATGAAAAAAAAGCTAACATTGAAGTTGTTTTGTGAAAATAAGAAAAGGATGTGTTAATGTTGAAGATAAGGGTAACTTATAAATAATTTACTAAAATCAAGATGAGGGGTGTAAAAAGAAAAACATGAGAGGCAAAAAGTAACACCCTATTGTCGACTCAAATCCTAAAACCTTATTACATATAAAATTTTATTGTGTAAAAAGATCATTATTTACATTTCTTTATTGGATGCTTTTAGAGTTTAGAGATTCTCTGTGTACTTTTGATGTGGTTCATTGGGCTAAATTGTCGATAAATTTATTTCGTTGTATATTTAATTTACGGAAAATGTTATCCTTTGAAATTTTAATAGAAAATCAAATATTTATTATACTTTTATAACTTTAATATAATAAATATTTATATTTTATAAAAAAAATTATTTATAGATGCTTAAAGCCTTAAACACAATCCGAGATTAACGAAAACCCTTAATTTATTGATCGATTTTAGTCAGGAGTGGAATATGTCCATGTCCTGATTATTAGATGCATTTATTCTTAGTGTAGTGGTATTTCATCTTTGAAATTCTACAAATATGTGTATGATTGCATTTGAATAATTGTCACTGTGTTTAGATGACAATTTTATCACTCCTTATTACTTTTATGGGTAAAAAGGTGATATACATATAACATGTTTTATGTTTTCTTTTAGTTTCACAAAACAAAAATTATAAATGAATTTTTATGTTTTATGAGATGTTAAGATTTTGAAAACGATACAATTTAGACTTTTTTAAAAATTTTGAATAAAACTAATAATTTGAATCATAAATTTCGAATGAAAAAGATTTATAAATGATTTAATGCACTTAAGTCAAAATATTTTGAGGGAAAAATAGAAAGATAAAAAATTTGTGGGTGACTTGGAATGGAGAAACTTGATTCCATCACGTTCTATTTCAATTTAAACAATTCAAATAACAAAATTAAAAAAATATTTTATTCCAAATTTCATTCCTTTCCACCAACCCAAAAACAAAATCTTAAGGAAATACAAATTACAAAGAAATAAAAGCTAAATGGCAAGCAGCATTAAAAAATTGAAAGGGCTAAAAGCATTCCATTGAAGCAATGCTAAATTTTATCCTCCTATCATTCCCAAATTTAAGTTTGAAAAATAAATAAATACATCCATTAATTCCATACATGTTCTTACATGTTTAACAAGTACCAAACCATATAGCTAACACCCCCGCTACCCAAAAATCTAAACAATGCTAATGTATGGTGCTGTTTTTCCTAATAATACAATATGCAGATCAAAAAGCTCTATAATTGAAGAACTTAAGAAACAAATTTTCTAGGTGAGCTCCAAAAGACTGAGTTCTTAAGCTTGTTGCTTATTGTAAATATCTAAATCAGCCAGCATAAGTATCCTTGTGAAAATTCTCCAGGTTCTGCAGTCACAAATGATTGAGTACTTAAGCTTGTTGTTTCTTATAAATTTTCAAATCAGCATGAGTGTCATTGTAGCGCTGCGTCATATAGTCCCCGCATAAGATAGGAGGAAATCTGGCAAAAAGAGAAAATGTAGGGATGTTAGAAATTTAAACCTGTCAACATGAATCTAATGCATAATCTACAACTACCAGTGTTCAAGTAAACAAAGATCTATGGTCATTCAAACGTAAATCTAAACACACTCTTATTTGTTTGTTAGACATTTGAGTGAACAAATTGCTTGATTTAGTGCTTTCGTAACCAAACAAATCAACTTCAGAATAGAAGATTGAAATATGACATTGATATTAACTTTCTCACATACAACATGGTGTCAAATTTAATATGACATGTTTAACGTACTTGGGTGGATTATTATTTGATTTGCAGGTAGGCAAACACTCCACTAGACAATCATAACTAGGCTCCAAAAAGTATGCAATCTGTAAAAGGAAACAACACTATGATTAGCATATTACATGATTTTGCCAAGCTTTGTGTGTTAAAATTGATATAAAGAATGCATAATCAAGGAGTAGACCAAAAATTTTGGGGACTAAATTTTGGCAAATAATCTTCTTAAGATTCACATTTATTGCTATCATTGAATGGACAAAAGGGAAAACCAACGTTGCTGGCAAAATACCAACCGTGACATTTTCGGATTGTGGTGGCTATAAACTACACTTGCATTGTGAACTTTAATGCTAACAGAAGATAATACAAAACTTTAAATATTGATTTATATTTGGCCAGATAAGTACATAAAAGTTTCAGTTTAAAATTCAAACACGAAAAACAGTGGGTTCTTGAGGGAGGCATAATATATTATACTTACAATATGATATTGGCTTTGCAATAAAATTAAAAATCGAAAGGGAAAGAGTAAAAAGTTGAACCAAGAAAAAGAAATCATGCTTACAGAATATCTTTCTTGACCATTTCCAAGAACTCTGTGCAGTGTGGACCTGAGCATAAATGCAAAGAAAATTGTTGATTATACCATGAATGGAAGTTAAATGAAAAAGGATATACTGTATAGATACACCAAAGGCCAAATAACATTTTATTTAACTCTGGTTTTATCTTAGCATATTAACTCTCTGACATAATGATAGAATACCACTCAACATTTAAAGTGTCGTGAGATTGAGAGCACCTAAAAATACTAATATAGTATGTATACACGCAATTCTCATTTATTCACAGAAAGCTAAATCTACAATAAAGGAAACTATCAGGGAAGTCGCTAAGTCACACAAATCAATCTTTCATAAATACAAGCATAGATGGAGGCTCATTATTAGTCTTTTAAATTCCTCCAAGGTCAGAATTATGTCTGCCTTTGATCAAGCTCAGAAATACTTAAAAGGTGGAAAAAAAATTTCTTACTTAAAGACACAGTTGCTCCAGCGCTCCAGCATGTCACCAAGATTCACTATGAATGCACTGCAACATAAACATTCAGCTAAACAATGAAAATAGTTCAGGAGAAGGGCATGAAAAGGGTAATAAACTTAAAAGGCCTAGGAGCATTCTTCCTGTCTTTGCAGCCTAGTATGTCTAATACTTGATAGAATGCACCTCAAAAAGAATTAGAAATATAGAAACATATATTATATGAGGCAGATAATTGCAATTTTACTTTGGTTGAATTGTTTTGGTGTGCTTTGATGATGTCAAACGAAAGGTATGACTTCTTACATGAGCCCCTCATATAGATTTCTATGAATGACAATTGGAAACTCTATGTTGGGACAAAAAAATCCATAAAAAATAATCTTAAGGGAAGAAGGGCAACTAAAAAATTCAGAAAATAGCTCACAAATTAATGTCAGGATGAACAAGAAAGAAGAATTTTCATTACTGCATAGCATGCAAACACCAACTCTTCATAATCATTTTTTTTCTTAACCTATAAAAGGTACAGCGATATAGGGACTAACCCCCTCAATGGCGCCACATCCTCCCATATCTGAGGTTTAGCATCCCTATCCTTGCATATCTGCAATAGAAGACATTAATGTTTTAAAACTAATTACACAAAAATATTAGCAACTTCAAAGAAATATCAATTGCCCTCTTACTTGAAGACCTGAGACTTCATCTGTTGCCAACAGAGTAATTAAACCAAAATCAGTATGAGCTCCAGCTCCATATAACCCTTTGGAGGGATCCGAAATTTGAACTTCGAAGAACAGAAATGAAGACAACTGGGTAAGTTATCTTTCCTTGTAATTGTACAAGGTATGAGGCACAAAGACTACGGAATCAATACCTCCATAGTGCAGCAAACGGAGCGTTGCAATGGGCTCTCCAAGCATTTTTGGCTGATCAAAAAATTTAGCATCCAAACCAAGTGCAAGGGCTATTATCTTTGCAACTGCTCTCCCAACTTCTCTGGATTGAACAAAAAATCAAACGATGACAAAAATGTGAAATTCTTTTCCTCCATAATACAGAACTTCAGTCCAAATGAGCAACCAAGACAGTTAACACGGTCTAATATTTTCTGCATACATTGACAACACAAAAGAACAAAATATGACTTCAATCCCCTCCCACCATGGCAAGGAAGAACAAGGAAACACATTGGACAAGGATTTCGAGGAAGAATCTTTTGTTAAAAGAAAAACAGATGCAGCAAGGTGGTAGCAAAAACACACTTAGTAAGTTCCACCAACGCTACAATGATCAAAATACAAGAATAATGTTGCATCTTATTACAGATAAATAGCATCAATGAAACGTACAATGCCTCTCGATGGAACTTTTCCATAGTATCTCTCCACCTTGGAAGAACATCTACACGAAAAGAAAGTTCATGAAAAAGTTAAAAAAAGAGAAAGAAAATCGAAGGAATTGGATGACTCATTAGGTAAAAGTTAGACTTTTCTTCTCCAAAAGTCTCAAAGACCAAAACTTTGACTCCTTTACCTGGTGCAGGCCATTTATTTGGGCCATAAAACGGTTTCTTCGATTCTGGGTCTTCTTCAGCTACTTCAACTCCAATATAATACCCCTCTTTGTAGTCTCCTACTTAACCATGCAGAGAAAAAGGTCATCATTCATCAAGGTTCAGAAAACAGAACAATAAGAAGAAGAAGAAAAAAAAAACAGAAGAAGAAGAAAAAGAAAGAAAACATAGTTGAATCTATATAAACATGCAACAAGCGCAGAAGGGTATATACCATGTACTTGGTTTTGAGGATCAAGTATCTCATCAAGAACAGGGGTGTATCCCCTGTGTTTTTCACTCCTCAGGACCTTCATCTTTTCCTTCTGTGGAAGGGAGAAGAATTTCTTGCTTTGTGCAAAAACGTCATCCATGAATTCCTGGCTTATCCCATGATTGACAACATAGAAAAAACCAGAATCCAAACATGCCTTTTGTTTTTTTCCAACCACAAGAAATAACAACAATAATAAGATCACTTAGAAAAAGTTGAAAATTCAAGCGAAGTCAATTGACCCGAGTGAGGTTGAAGAATTGAAACCAAACCTGTTTGAGCAAATTCACGGATTGGCTTATGTCGGGATTGGAGAGGTCGATGCAGTTGAGAACAGAGGATTTGATGGTGTCAGAGGATTGTGTACTCTGTTTTCCCATGTTGACAAAACGAAAGATAGCCTCTGGTTCCTGAATCAGTTTGCACTTTTGCATTGAGAAAGAGAAAGGAAAAAAGTGAATGGCTTTTGCTTATATAGGCATATTCAGCACAATAACATTGGTCCACAATCGTTGCCACCGTTCATAGCAGCCATCGTTTTTTTTTTTTCATTTATATATAATTTTTGTCGCTTATTTAGGAATAGACATCTATTGGTTGCAAATTATTATAATTTTATTACTTTTCTTTTTCGCTTTTGCTAAATTGTGTTTTATCCATAATTGGATTAGAATATTTATTTTGGGTTTGGTGGAGTTTGTTGTGAATTACTTTTAGATTTAGTAGTTTCTTAGATTGAGATTTATGATAGAGGATTGATAGGGAGATTTTTAATACTGTTTTTTAAATATATTTTTAATTATTAACCATTTTTTAATTATAAAAATTACATGATTTTTATAGTCTTTTATTTTTAATTTAATATTTTTCTTTTATATTTTTATAATTTTTAATAAATTTTATCAATAATTTAAAGTATATTAAAAAAGTGGGTTTGAGGAATATTTAGCTTTTTTTTTTTTAAGGTTGAGTCTATAGTAATGCAAACCATCGTCATTTTTTGTTTTCAATAAATTGTAATTTTGGTTTAGAAATCTGAATTCTTCCATGAAAACCGTACATAAGTGAATATGAACAGTATAATTAACGTTTTATTCAATTTAATTAATGTTTATAATTTATTTATTTTTTCTATAATTATAATTAATTTATTGAATAGTATTAACTTGATCCCATTTATTGATATAATGTATAGTTAATTATGAAAATAAATAAGTATAAAATTCAAATATATTGTATTGTATATATTTTGAAATATAAATACACTCTTATGTCCTGAAAATTGTTATTAAGTTAAATATTATATTATTAATATAATTCTGAAAAAAGTATAAATTTTAGAATAAAATATGAGATAAATAAATTTAGGATCGCTTGAAATTTAATTTGAACTTGCTCTGATAAATATGAACATTATTAATTTTAAAATAATTAAAAAACTTATACAAATATTAAATACATTTTGCTATTGATTAGCTCAACAGTTCAAACCCAAATCATTATATTAATTCCAAATTCAGAATCGATTTGACTAAGTTCAAAGTTCAAACTCTAATAATCGTTTTAAGTCAAAGTCATCTTTGCAAAGTCTCAACAATATGTCATCACTTTAAGCCAAAGTGCCTTCCTACCAAAGTTCCTTTGCATTATGAGTGACTATGGAAAAGACACTTTCGTTGAAAAATGTTAACTGTGCAATAAAATTGTATTATTTTTTAATTAGAGAGATAAAATAAGGAATATAATGAATGATGATAAAGAAAAAAAATATATTATAACAAAAAATTTATCGTTTAGGAAAATTATAATTAGAAATTTAAATAAAATCTTCAATTGAATTATTTAACATAATAAAAAGATATTATCATCATTTCTCTAATTGAATTGTTTGATTCTGAAATTTTGTCATGTTATAGAATAAATAACATTGTCGTGTAAGAATACATAGTCAAAATAAAATGAAGTAAGAATAATAATTATATTGCAGAAAAAAAATTTAAAATGCAAAAAAAGTAAATATATTTTTGTATTTTAAAATATATTAAAATTTAATCTTTATAATAAAAAATATTTCTTATATTTTTAAAAATAGTTAACTTTAATTTTCAGTCGTTATTGAATGATAAATAGCTAATTCAAATATTATTTATGTATCAGTTTTGTTTTTAAAATATTAAAACTTTGTATAATTTAAAAGATTAAAAATCAATTTAATTTAATTATGATAAAGGTAAGAAAATTTTCACGAAATTAACAATTAAAAAAAAGACGTGAATTCTGATTCTCTCAGTGGCATGCATACTAAGAGGGTGACACGTAAGAGGGGAATACTTGTGTAGGGTCGTGTGCAGTGTACCTTTTTGACCAAACCATAATTTCTAACTTGGACGGCCAGAATTTTGTGGGTAGGAAATTGCCTGCCACCTCATTTCTATCGCCACACTTAGACAAATAATGAAAGAAATTCACGATTTCCACATATATTATTTTTTTTATAAATATTAGTTTTAAAATTTATATAAATTTTTATATAAAACTACTTAATTTTTTAACTAATTTTATTTAATGATAATTTTTATAATTCTTCACAAAATCTTATATTTTACTATATAATACTTTGAAATATTGTATAAAAAATTTCTTGATACATGATTTTTTCTATATTATTTTAAAATAATATATATATTTTTAAAAAATTTCAAAAATAAAAAATGAAATTATAATTATTTTATTAGAATTGCAACAATTTTTATAATTAACTTATGTTATTCAAGAATCCTTAATAATAGTTTTTAAATTCTATATATATATATATATATTTTAAATTTTATATTTCAATATAAATATTTTCAAATCTCGTATTTAAATTAATTTTTTTATATTATTTTTATACGTATAGCTATTATTATCCTATTTTTATTTGGTTAAAACAAATAAATAAAAGAAATTTAAATTATTTAATTTTGGGAAAATCTCCAGTCATTTAATTTAGATCTTGTACAAAATTGTATGCATTTTTAATGGCTGAAACCTTGATTGTTTATTTTTACTGATTTTCATAGCACAGTGCCTAGCAATGAAGTAGAGACTCCCATAAAAAGATTATATGATAGTCTCTTAAAGGCAAATATTTTTGTTTTCTGATTTAGTGTATGAAACATTTTAGGCACACTCATTACTCCCAATTTTGTTAGAGAAGTTTTTGGTTCGTACTTCAAGGACATGACTAGACAATTTGCTGAGATTAAGCAAGTTTTATGAGTAAAAAGTGCATATAACCATACATTATAATACGTAGTGAAATGTTATCTTAATTAGTGTCTTTATTGAAATTTTTACCATATTTGTAGATATATACACGATGACTAATTTTCTAATTGATGGATTGTGTACTTATGCAAAGCAAAGGATGACACTTGTTCTGATTGCACGTCCATCGAAATATATAAAATTATAATAATATGTTAATATTTATTATGACATGCATATAATAAAACATATTAAAAGATAGAAAATATGATACTTTTATTTTTTTATTCACGTCAAATATTTACATGTAATAAAAACAAAAACAAAAATGAATTTAGTGACCATTACGGATAAGTGTTTTGTTTTTAATTAAAATATATATTTTAAAAAATCATAATAATTATGTTAGTTTTCCGGAAAAAAGACAACCACAATTAAAATTAGATGCCTCTAAAGATAAATAAGCTATAGAAAAAAAATGTGTTACAAAATTTATTTTCTTTTAGTTTAAACAAACAAACCTCTAATAATTAGAGTACAAAAAATTTTGCTATGAGATCGCCTAATTTTTTCTGTTTAAGACCACGTACGATAAATGAACATGTAATTAATTTTGTTGCAGTTGCTGGAATCATCTACCAAAGTTGAAGTGGTAGCAATTGATGGATGGGTCCTCTTAATTAGCTTAGCCACCAATTCAAGTTAGAGATATCTAATAACTTTCATTTGTGATTCCCTTTATTTTATCTTTGTCTTCTTTAACTCTAAAGGAAACCAGAAATACTTCAGCTTCTGCGATTGTATCAATATTTTCAAAAGTTCTACACGTTCTTATAAGATTGAAATATAACCAAACGGAGATTTTTATTTTTATTTTATGTTAACATATTCTTACATCTATAAGGTTTGAGTGAGCCTTTGTAAAAATCCTTATGCTTTCATGTCATGAGTTAAAGTGTTGAGAAATAAACATGGGTTATACTCGATTGATTGAAAACATGGGTATGGTAATTCACTTGAGGAACATGTTACACACTAATAACATGTAATATTGTGGTTCTTTTCTTTTCTTGGGATATGTGCATGAATAGATGCGATTTAATCTCTCCAATCTTTGGGGTATCGAATCAAATGGATGAGCTCCGAGGGACACATTAGGTGCATGGAATATGGATCATTGTCTTTAGTTCTCACATTAGGGACACATTAGGTGCATGGAATTTGAGTATTATAGATAGGATGATCATGATATTTTAACACCCTCTCCTTAAAGAGATGCTGTTTGGGGTACATGAAAGAAAAGATAAAAGGAATAAAGAAAAATGAAAAATGTGATGAACAATGGATTGAAAAAAAGAAGAAGCATACATACAAAGAATAAAACATTAAAGCTTTTAAAAATTTAAGATAACAATCATAAAATTACACGTTAATGAAACCTGTAATAAAAACGTGAATTTTAACCGATTCAATACATTAAAATGAGATTCTAAATAGACACTTTCTTTTCCTTTCCTTTAAACCCTGTTGATTAAAATTATGAAACTTTTTTAAAAATAAAACCTTCTATTTATACAAAAAAATAATAATTTATACTAAATAAGACACTACTCAATCATTATAACATATAAAAAAAATCAAACACCCTTTCGATCTGGCATAAGAACGAAGGGTATCCACACCTTTTTGGTGTAATTAAAATATTAATAGTTAATAATTAAAAAAATATTAATTACTTAAAATAATCATAAGACTAAGAAAAAGTTAAGTCACAAAATACATTAGTTTAATATATTGTCTATAAAAGAGAAGTAAGAAATACATGTAAAATGTTGACTTTTTAATATTAAATAGCATTTATTAGTTATACTAAATACTGACTTCACCATCAAATTGCCTTTGCAGGTACCCCACGTCAAAGAAAAGAAGAATATGAAATATTCTATAAAAACGTCATATCAAAAAATAAAAAAAAAAGACTGTAGAAGACTAATGTATCTCTAATAGAAACACAATTTATTTCAAGTTTTTGATATTCTGTATTTATTCGTTGAATATCTTAAATCAAACCACAATATTTATTTATTTAGAAACAAAATAAAAAAATTACATATTTATATTTCTACTTAATTTAGTTTTTAGGCCCTACTTTCACCTCAAGCTGCATGTTTTTGTCCCAACTTAACTTGATATTCTTTAACAAGGTTTATATCTCAAATTATTTTCTTTAACAAAATATAAAAATAATAATTTAAGCAAAACAAATATAAAAATAATAATAGATTAAGGTAACAAGTTGCTACACCAATAGAAGACCCCAAGTACGAAGATTTCATGGGGATATATATTACATTTTAGACTAAATTATGAATGTTTGTCGCATATAAGTTATAACGTGCAACTCATATATTGAGAATTAATATCAATAAAAGAATAAAAAGTAAAGGAAAAAATATGGTTAAGAATTTTTAATTGAACAATAATTATTAATGCTACTCATTAATGTAAATCAGTAAGTAATGCTTTCTTTTAGATTAGAATCATTTTATCTTACACTGCAATTCTTTGGGCCTTTACAGATTGAAAACATTCTACAGTAAGAAACACTCAAAAAAGTTTATTTTTCTATTATATTTCGCATTAGGAGTTTTCTTTTAGGTCTAAGGTATTAGGATTACATGCATAGCACATCTCATATTTCGGATCCAAGACTCATACTATGGAAATAATATCTTAGTCCAATATCTATGTTGTAATTTTAATATATAATTATAGTTTGGATATTTTTTTTATAAGTTAGAAATAATTTATGCTTTTTTATTTTTATAAAAGTTTTTTATTTAACTTCTCTAAAATTTATGAGAGAAATTTTATTTGTTTTTATACTATTTTTTTTACAAATATTTTTCTATAATTTTACCAAGCCACAGTTAAATTCATGACAAAAAATATATATAGCTAAATAAAAAGCCTAAATCCCAATTCACCTTAGGTGAGATTAAGACAACCAATCAAGCTAACGAGTCTCAGATATTATATTCCTCAAAGTGAACTCAAATTCATACAGGAAGTGAGCAAAAAAAAAATTGTACAAGTTTATAGTAATAATAATAATTTACATTACTTAAGTTTGGATTTGGTGACTGGCAAGGTTGAAGAATGCACCTCTCTTGTGCCTAAGCTGAGCATAGGTTCCTTGCTCTAGAACCTTGCCTTCTGATACATAGGCAATTGAGTCAAGCTCTTTGATGGTGTTAAGCCTATGTGCCACAACAATGGTAGTTCTTCCTACCATGATTCTATCAAGTGCTTCTTGCACCACTTGTTCTGATTGCACGTCCAAGGCACTTGTTGCCTCATCTAAGAGCAGTATTATTGGGTTCCGAATTATGGCCCTTGCAATTGCTATTCTCTGCTTTTGCCCTCCTGATAATTGCACTCCCCTTTCTCCACATTCAGTTTCATATCCTTCTTTCAATGATCTACATTACCAAAAATATAATTTTACATTTTTATATGTTAAGTAGTCTTGCAATTCAACACAGTCATTGTTTAATTCAATAATAATTATAATGTTAAACCTAATCTTTTTTAATTGTATACACTTTATTTGAGTAAACAACTTAGTAAACACTCATCATAGTAGAAGTTATTCAATTTTTCTAATGTGTGCTTAAAGACACGTGTTAAAAAATAATAAATAATAAATAATAAAATTTCATTAAAAATTGTAACATTTAATGTTATAGAATCTTGTGATTTTTGATAAAAACTTATCATATATAAAATCTTTTTGTGTGTCCTTGGATACACATTAGAAAAATTTAAGTTATTTTCTTAAGCTCAAATATAATTTTTTTTTCAAATTTCCATTTATTAGAGGTTGAACTTGAGATATCTATTTGTGTTCTTAAAAACAAAATTTCTATTTTAAAACATCTAGCATGAAGTCATGAACATATGGTGGTTGTCGATTTCAAGATCTATTTATTCATGCAAGCTTCTTGTTAGTGGTTGAAGTTGAATGTCATGATGGAGAACAATGCTTACTTACGAAGTCAATTTGTGTTGATTCATGTCTAAAAAATGAAGATGATAATGGATGGTTAAAACTAGTGATCACACTATACAAGTAGAGAGAAAACTTACGATATGAATTCATGAGCATTTGCAGCTTTGGCAGCCTCAACTACTTCATTCTCTGTAGCATCTTGCTTCCCAAACAAAATGTTATCACGAATGCTGCCAGAATATATCACAGGTTCTTGGCTAACAAGTGCTGTGTGTTGCCTATACCAATAAATGTCTAATTCCCTTATGTCCATATTATCCACTTTGACTGACCCTCTTTCAACATCATAGAATCTTTGAATTAAAGCAATCACTGTTGATTTTCCACATCCACTTTTCCCAACTAGTCCAACACTTTTTCCTGGCTTCACCTCCAAGCAAAATTTGCACAAAATTGGCGTCCCTGCTCTGCTTGGATAAGCAAAGTCAACATTCTTCAATTCTATCTTTCCACTTATTTTTTCCAACTTAACCCCATTAGTGCTATCTCCAGCCTAATCAAACAAAAATATTACCATCATAGGGCATTAGTTAATGTATGCTTAACGTTGTTGCGCAATAGTAAATGACATAATGAAACCATTCTTTTTTTTGGGTCCAATATGAAGAAAAAAAAAACCTTTGTTTTCTTCTTTGATTAATTCAGTAGTTGTATCTTATATCAATATAAGGAAGAAAAAATACGATGAGTATAAAAATGTGCGGATAAGTTTACACAAAAATAAAAGCATTGCACCATTAGCTTGCCTCATTTTAAAATTAGTACTAAAATTATATTAGTTTTACATCACAACACTATAAGGATCTACCAATAATATTCACAGAAAAATGCACAAGCATAATCTCCATTCTCCACAACTCAAATAGAGCCCTATTTTTATAAGCAAACATTGTAAATGCTTGAGATAGAAATACTTTAATGCATAAGGCATGATTTAATGGGAGGACACAAAGTGCCATGAAAACTAAATGGGTATACAGAATTTGAACCTTACTAAATTATGATGATATGGGTTGCATGCACAATAACAAGAGCTACATACATACCTTGGGAATTAGTGATTTTCGGTCAAGAATTTCAAACACAGATGCTACTGCTGTTGAACTCTTGGCAAGGTCAGAAGTCATGCTTCCAGCCTCAGCTATGACCTTACCAGTGCTAACCAATACAAAAAATGTCTTGAACACATCCCCTGCTGATATTTGTCTTTTTTCAACCAAAGTACCACCATACCAAAAGTCCAAAGCCCATGACAAGAATGTTAAGCATTGAGCAGAACCCATTCCTATGCCAGCTAGCCAAGACTTCTTCCTTGCTTCCTTCCTTGGAGCCTCTTGAGCCTCATCAAATAGTCCTAGAACTTTTGTGATGCTTCCAAATGAAGTTACAATTCTATGATTATAAACTGCCTCCACTGCAATTTGTGTACTTTGATTCTGTGCCTTAACAAATTTGGTTGAAAGGGTGGAAAGCAACACTTTTCGTGTATAAAAGCAAAGGATTGTAAGTGGTTGCACAGCTATCATAACAAGAGCAAGTTTCCAAGCCACAGCAAGCCCTATGATCATAGCAATGGTGACAGCAGAAGTGGTTTGAACAAGTAAAGAGAGTCTATCTGCAACAAGGGACTTAACCATGGAAGCCTCATTGCTCAACCTTGAGCATAATGCTCCACAGGAATTTTGTTCATCATCAAACCAAGCAGTTTCAAAGGTTAAGATCTTCTCTAGCATGCACAGCCTTATCCTTTTGGTTAACTTGGCTCCCATATAAGCAAAATTGTAGTGTTGCAAGAGGTTGAGGATAATAGAAGCAAAGGAAAGAGAACAGAAAATTAAAGAATAAGTCCTTATTCTATGTCTCATTTCTTGATGGCTTTCAGCAAAAAAGGCTGAAATCATACCCCCAATGGTTAAAGCATATAAGGGTTGAACTGAGCCAAAGGCTATAGCTGAAAATGTTCCAATTAGACCTTGTTTCCATTCAGGACCATTTAAAGAAAGAAGCCTTAGAAAATAAGGTGGAGGGTGAGAAATTGGAGATGGGATGGTTTCAGGAAGCAATGGTGACTTTGGAAAGATGGCAGGGCTTGACTTGGCAGTGCTTGGTCTACCTGCACTACTTCTTGCTGAAGAAAGAAGCCCTAGTTCTAGATTTTGATCTTGGTCATCCATGCTTAATTGTGTCTGTAATTTTGCCAATTTTGCATAATGCCCATTTGGGCAATTAAGGAGTTCATTATGTGTGCCTTTTTCAATGATGCGACCACCACTAACAACTGCTATAAGGTCTGCATTTCGAATTGTTGATAGCTTGTGGGCAACAATCTGATCAATTTCAGTAGGTGTTAATAGAATGAAGTAAAATTAGTTTAATAAGTACTCATTTATTATGACAATTACTAATACAGCATTGAAAGCATGTTTAATGAGTTGTGCCTCTTAATAAAATTGATGTGTGAACTAAGTGGTTTAATGCTATACAATTGCAATATTTTGATGATTTATTTATTAGTGTAAATGAATGATTCCACTTACCAAAGTGGTCCTCCCCATGGAGGCTTGGTCAAGGGCATTCTGAACTAGTAATTCTGATTCAGAGTCAAGAGCACTAGTTGCTTCATCAAGTAGGAGAATTACAGGATTCTTTATTATGGCTCTTGCAATGGCTATTCGCTGCTTTTGTCCTCCTGAAAGAAGTGCCCCTCTTTCTCCAATCTAGTTTACAATCAATCAAATTAATTAGTAGCTACACATTTTCTTAATGTGGTGCTAAAATTATAATTTAATTAGAAAAAATGGGTTGTAAGGATTGAATTAATTAATGCTATCACACACTTTTGTTATCAAAGTTTAAGTCATGATTAAGTAAGGGAAAACAATGAATTTATATCTCTAGTATTGGGAGAATGATAGCTTATAGACCACTAGTAAATTTGTGCTTAGTAGTTTAAATAGGAGGATTGATTCTTGATAGTAGAAATAATAAAATCTATTTGTATTTCTAGACTAGAATGAATAGAAATAGGTAGTTTCTATTTTCATCACTAAACAAAATAATCTTGGGAGAGAATGATAGAAGCATCCTAAAGTTATTAGAAATTTGAGAACTAATGTAAAATTAAACGCTCTTTTGACTTTAGACCCTTATCCAAAAGTTATTAGATTTTGATTAATCCAAATCGAACCAAGTGCTCACTTAAGAAGGTAAAATTTCTCCTTATTTTTCATGCAGAAGAATCAAATCCAAAACTTTATATAAAGAGAATCAAGCTTACCTTGGTTTCATACCCTTCAGGAAGCTGTCTTATGAAGTTATGAGCATTGGCTGCAGTGGCTGCAGCAACTATTTCATCTGTGGTAGCATCAGGCTTCCCAAACATAATATTCTCCTTTATAGATGTGCCAAACAATGCATGTTCTTGGCTTACAAGGCCCATTTTCCCTCGCATCCATTTTAATTGAAGGCTTTTTATGTCTACTCCATCAACCTTCACAACACCTTCATCTACATCATAAAATCGTTGGACTAATGCTATTGCAGTGGATTTACCACTTCCACTTGCACCAACTAGTGCAACAGTTTTCCCAGCTTCCACTTGGAGATTGAAATCACTAAGAACAATCATATCGGGACGAGAAGGGTATGTGAATTTGACATGGTCAAAATCTAGCTTTCCACTAATGCTCTCTAACACTAGACCTTTTGTGTCTTCACCATCAATCATTGGTATTCGGTCAATCATTTCAAATATTCTTGAAGCAGCAACAGATGCTTCAGTGAAGTACTTCAAATCAGGAAGTACCACTCCAAGGGATCTACAATTTACATTAAAATAATTTGTAAGGGAAAATAATTAAACACCACATGAAATATGAAGAGGCTGAAAGGGTTTTAATTTGGTGTAATGGAAAACATGTACAGTTATACCAACAAATTGAAATTTACCTTGCCTCTAATTTTCAGCTATTTTGCAATATAGCCAAACATATAATATTTCATAAGGTTTGAGTAATTTCTGTTATATGGAGACATTGTGTTACATATATAATTATCTACTCCTTGTTGAAAGAAATTCGAACACTTATATGAAAATTATTTGTTTATCTTTCCTAGAGATATGTTGGGAAAAAAAGGACAGAATTTTAATATTTGCAAATATGCTTATCCAGTAAAAGATATCAAGAATGATAAAACTCAAATTGATGATCCTTGATCATAATGTAGAATGTTAATATAATCAGGTAATAGCAATTTAAAACTCGAAACAAAAAAAAGAGAGTTAATAGCAATTCAAACTTTACAAATTGTAATCAAGTACGAACTTCTCTAGATAATAACATTGAAGTTAAAGAACATAATATTAAGAATTGTTTTGTTTTCCATAAAGCGCTAACAATTAGAAAGAAAAGGTACATGTGCATGAATTAATATATTTATATAGGGTTTAAAGGTTTATAGTTTTATATATGCATAATTTTTTTCCCTTAATATCCTGTAAAAGCTTTCCTTCTTACCAAACACTTAAACTCTTTATTCAGTAAATGTTTGTTCATTACAAAGTTGTTACGGCTTTAATAGTATCAAGTGGCTTAGCTATTCATACCACTTTTACCTATTCATATCATTTGAAGTTATTGATGAAATACAAGAGAAAATTATTTGAAGCAATATCGAGATTGGTTAAATTATTAATTTCTTTATCTATAATTACAAGTTTACGATATGTTTTCATTGTCCTCAACTTTATCACCATAAGTTCAAGCAGAAACAAATAGTACTAGTACGTACAATTAGTATATGATATTATATTGCGGGAAGAAGAGAGTTTCACAATTGAGAAGATAAATTCTCTTAATCATAATACTGTTACTAAAACTATAGTACCTCTCCTTTCTACGACTCTTGCTTTTCATCAATTTAATGCTTTAAGAAGTCACTTTTTGGAAAGAAAAGCATTTTGGTGCCATACATGTCTAGTCAACTTCTTTCCAACTACCGAAGACTTATGTCCTCAAATTTATATCATTGTGAGGTAGTATAATATCTGGCACCCTAGTTTCTAGTGAAAGATAAAGATTAACACTTTTCTGAAGCGACTTGATTCCGTTCTTATCATGAAAATTAAAATTAAAATTAGTTGTGGAATAACACTGTTTCTATGCCCTTTTCCTGTAGAAAACGATGTCAATGACTATTACAAGTTGGCTACTTGTGGTTAGATGTAGGATATAGTTTTCACTTTAAATTACTTAAATTTTCCGGTGTCCCAATTTTTAATTGATTATCAAGATCCAGTGATCTGCTACTAATTGCATCAGTCACTAAAATGTACTAAAATAAATTGTGCATGATTCAAAGATGTGATTCGAAATGAGTAAATCTTAATTTGAGCCTTTTAAGATTATAAGTATTTACTTTTGCCTTAAAAATTATAAATATTTATCATTTTAATTTTTAATTTTGTATTTCTTTTCATTTCAGACTATATAAAATGTCATCTATTATAACTATTTTTATAATAATATGATGTTTATTTTATCTTTTAAAATAAAAATATTAATTTATTAAAAAAATGAATACTTGAGAACAACCATGTTAAGGTAGAAATTAAATATGTTTACACCTTGACTATTACATAACACCCATAAGATCCATACCCAAATGTAAGTACATTAAAGATTATTGAAATGAATAAACATTTTGATAAATTTAAAAATTTAAATAAAATTTTACAATTTTATAAATAAAATTTGAGATCAATTAAATCAAAAATATTTCATAGACACTCATGAAAGCATTTATATCTAAAGAAGGAAAGATAAAAAGGAGAAAATAATAAATTATTATGATATAATAAAAATAATAATAAAGATTAAATGAATATTAAAACTAATTGAATGTTTATGAATCATACTTGAATTAAATTAAGCTTAAGAAAAAAGGTAAAGAGATTGGTACGTACAGTCCACACATTATGAAGGAAATGCCTGATGCATAGATCCTTCCTCCGCTTTCACCTTTATACATAACCAAACGGCTTCCATACCAAGCAATGAAAGCCCATATTGCAAAAGAGAGACCTGTGCTTCCTACAGCCACACCTTTGGCTATGCCTTGTTTGATTCCAAGCCTTGAAGTTCTATCCAATATATCTGAATATCTCCCAATGATTCTCTTCTCCGAAGTGAATGAATAAACAGTTTTGATAGAGCTAAGTGCCTGTTCCACAATAGCGTTTGCTTTGCCATACTCTTTAACACACGATTTTGTCAAATAGATTAAGTATTTGCCATAAATCATGCCAGGGATAATGAGCAAAAGCAGCGTTGGAAATGCAACTAAAGCCAACCTCCAAGAGAAGTACGTGGCAAATGCAACCCCAGAGATGAATGATGATGAGTGCATGAAAAATAGGGGCACCTATAAGAAACCAAAACAAAGGATCATAAGGAAAAAGATGAGAAGATATGATAGATATATGACATGTGTGGAGTGCATAAAAAATTATCACCTTTTCACTTAGAACTTCTTGTATGAGAGAAGTATCCTTTGATATGCTATTAATGATTTCAGAAGTAGTTGCTTCTTGTGAATCAAAAAACCCCACTTCTTGTCTCAGTACAGCTTCTAAATACTTGTAGCGAATCCTCAAAACTTGCCTCTCACTTGTTTTACTCCAGCAATACCCTTCTGCAATTAAGCACCAATTATTGAATCAGTCTAAAAAAGCTTGCATTTTTAGAAGTTCCTGTGTATTTGTCTGTATATATGGTAACTGGCTTCATTTACAGGATCAAATCTTTGAGAAAATTCTAAGTGAAAACTGAAAATTCATTAGATAGATTGATGTAGAAGGCTAATATATTTTGTTGGTTAGTGTAATTTCTAGCTACTTTCTGTATATATGAAACTGCCTTTTAGGGTTTCATATATTTACAATAATGACCAAACATGTCCACTAAATTAAACATTTTAAAACCCAACCTCTTACCTAGGAGCACTGCTGGGTATTGAGAATGCCTACTACAGTTAGATGCTAGCTTATTAAAACGTTTCACACACCTTTGTCCTCAAAAAGTAAAGCAAGTAAAAGTAAGTTGTGTATTTGGAGATTACCCATGAAAGCCACCACCATAGCTGCTAATCCCAAGTAGACAAAATATAAGCTGCACTGTAAATAATAAATAAAAAAAATTAAAAAAAAAAAAGAAAAAAGAAGAAGGAAATGTTAGTTGGTAAGGCTATGTGGGTAAAAAGTGAAGCAAACCAGAATGTCATGAATGAGTCAACTTTAACTAACCTTTTCAACCTCAGCCATGGAAGTCTTACCACTTTGTTGGTTATTGCTGTAACCTAAGCTGTTCATTATACGGCTAGCAAACAGCAACAAAACATTTGTGGTCATGCCATCTCCTATTGCTCCCAAAGCACCCATTAACATAAGCAAAATGTCAATCCAATCAGCATATCTCAAAATGATAGTTATGGAAGTTCTTTCTTTCTTTCTCATCTCTTCGTTTTTAGGAGAACCCATTTTAATTGCTAGCTTCTTGAGTCAAAGATATATGTGGAAACAAAGAAGGTAGAGATCAGAGAGGTGAATTATTATTTGATTTTGATTTCCAAGGCCAAGTTTGAGTGTATATATATAAGTGTGAAGTGTGAACACTATGCATCTTTGTCACGACTCAAAGGGTGAGTGGCATATTCCATGCGAAGCACACAATGAATGTCATAGGCTTTTTGTGTGGGGTTGTTGAAGATTTTGTGCTTAGCGTTTCATTTGTTGCTTTTTCTTTAAATTGCTTGGGGTATGAGATAACCCTTTTTGTCTAGTTTTGAGAAAGATGATTATGATTTATGGGCGAAGTCCAATTTGCCATTATACCACTTGCTCCCTTTTCTTTATATTGGTTTAATTAGTACTCTAATTTCAGGTCACTTTGGCCATTGTCGTTTTATTGCCAGCTTTTTCTATTTTATAAATCGTCACTTCAAGTTGTTATGTCCCTTCCCGTGAAGGGAGCTTAATATTTAATACACTACTGGTGGATATGGATTATAATGTGGGTCAATTTTTTGTCTGTGGATCCATTTTCGATCTCTCGGCTCTGGCTATTTATAATTATATTTATAATATATAAGATTTGAAGCATAAATTCTTCAATTATCACTTTAATATGGATTAATAAGGGTGGTGAAAACACATAGACATACAGAATAGTATATGTATTTGTTTTAAGAACAAATATTATCAAACCTATTCTATTAAATAATTTTATCAAAAATATTAAACTAAACAATCATGTTAAGAAGATCACATTAAGATTAATAACCCTATGAAAATTTGTGTAATTTAAAAGTTATACGATACTTTATTAATTATCATTAATTTAATATAAAATATAAAATTATAATATTATGTATCTTTGAATATTAATTTATTTAAAATATACGTGTGGTCATCAAGATAATATCTTGAATTACATTGTTATACAAAAATTAAGAAAATATTGAGTGAAATAAATGTAAAAAGAAAAAATTACTTTTAATTAAACTAAGTGAGATAAATGATGTATTTTTGCGAGGAGTAAGTTAATGAAACTCAAGACAAATACCACACAATTAATCTAAATATTGCTAAAGATATAATTAATTTAAATATTTCTTTTATAAAGTAAATGAAAGTGCGAAACACCGAGTTAATAATATTGTTTTATTTGTTTTAATTTACATAAAAGGAATACATTAGTAATTATATAACTTTAATAATTTAAACTGCTCACAAAAATACAATTTAATATATAGTACTATATGTAAGGACGTATGAGTATCCTAATTAGTATTACTAATTATAGGACTCAAAATATGTTTACTAGATTTTATAGTTTGTCATCAAAGATTCGTTTTGATTTGTCTACAATTATCATAGATGGACAATTAATTTGTGAATACTAAGTTAACGTATTTAAGAAAAGGAAAAGAAACCTACAACAGTGTCAAGAATTTAAGTACTCTCTGTATTCATTTTTAATAAATTTTGTTTATCAAAATTTAAAAAAAAAACGTAAAAATTACGTTCCATATTTGAATCACGACACAGAAATATTAATTAATTCTTCTAACTATGCTTATGTGTTTTCTTAATATTGGAAAGAGACCTTTAAGAAAAAACTCAGCTTAATATTGTTTTTCTCATTTTATAATTAATAGAAAAAAAATCTCTTAGCTGAAATCAACAAAAATTACATGTGCTACAACTGAATAAAGGTTTTGGTTAAGACAACTCTGTCAGACAACACATCTCACAGATTAAGAAAATTTAAAAAGGAGAGCCAATGAAATAAAGAATATGAAATAAAATAAGGGCATCAACATTATTAATTGTATGATTAAAATAATATGATATATTTAAGAAGAGAAGCCTCCAAGGCTGCAACTGCATTTGTGTTTCTTAGAAGCAGAGAGGAAGATATCATCACACAGCATATTCCACTTTTTTCATGATGATCTGCCAGACCAATCTTGCTTCAACAGATCAAATTCCTTAATAATTCCAACATATTTTTATAGCTGTATGTTTTGGACCTCTCTTTTTCTCTCTCTGTGACACTATTAAGACCAGAAAAAACGTCATTATAGGATTAATATGATCCTTATTATTTTTTAAATCATTAAAATCTACTTTTGCTTTTATCCTTTCCAGCCATTTTAAATTTACCTAGCAATTCTTAGTACCCTATACATTGTGCATTACTCTGGACTTGTCTGCCTATAATTATAATTTTGACATATTTTTTTATAGTTATGTATCATTCTTGGAGATGTGATGTAGGGCTAATATTTGTTTACTTAAAAAATTATTTCTCTTTTCTTAAAATATTATTATATAATTTAAATTGATTTATTTACATATTTCAATTATATTTATTTAATTTTAAATTAACGGGCACATAATCACCACCTGAAAGATACCTTTTTTTAGCATCTCTTTGAAATATGTCACATGTTTAACATTAGCTATCTTGATTATTTTCGAAATATGCTCGCTTTTAGCTAATCAATATTCCCCATTTTCAGGTAGATGTGTTTTTCTTTTGCTAAATTCGTTATTGAAATTCTTTCATAAACTATTCATTTATTTGACCCTTTTCCCATGTTTATCTCATGTTTCTTCCGATGCGTTATGAATACACTCTCCTGAGTCCTTTTATTTTTCCCTTCTTTATATTCAATGCGTAGTATTCTTGTTGATCAAAGAACCAAACCACTTTATTCTCTGTATTCTTGTCTAAGCATATATTAAGACCAATTTTCTTTCTGATAACGTACAGTCTCATCTCAGGCATTTCCTTTTCGCTGATTTGCCTTTCACATAATTTATTGAAATGATTGAGAAAATTCGTATATATATATATAAATAATAATAATAATAATGTGTGTATTTAATTGATTTTCGAACATGACAATGCTCAAATACACGTCACTACATAATTTGATTTTAAGAATGCCCAGTACATGCATGTTCGACTTACATAGACATGAGCTCAATTAATGTAGTTCACCTCATTGGTAATAGTGTTCTTTCTGTGAGACCCCTTACTTATTATTTGATACTTAGTAAATTTCAAATGCAACAAAAAGATGAATGACTTCTAATATTCCTTTGCTTTATTTTTATATATGGTATATTATTAAAAATATAAATAAATAATTACCATTAAATTGTGTATTTATAATTATTTAAATTATATGAAATTATATATATATAATCATCACAATAATATCACATACATTAATAATTAAACTGACAAAATTTATGTTTAATATCTCCTAGAATGATTGCGATCAAATACTCTGTGTTCTCTTGATTAGTATAGTATTCCACGGGATTCAAGCCTTAACATTGCAAAAAAATATTTCTTCATCAATTGCTTATTAATTCATGAATTCTCCTTCTCCTTAAAGCTCTCTATATATGTATATCAACAATCAATGATCCGGTATTTTCGCCTTAAGTGTAGCCAATTTTGTGATTATATAACATGGCTTTCTTTCCTTAGGCTAGGTTAGGCTTGCAATAGCTAATTCAAAGGTTGTGTAAACCTTTTTGTTTAGTGGAGTATTTAAACAAATAAATAAATCTCCATGCCTAAAAAGTCTAGAATTTTAAGTTTTGCTTTGCCCCCTCACCTTGACCAAATAACTATATAGATTGGTCCACCACATGACGCACGTAAATATATTTTTATTAATGTTAATTATTTTTGGGTTTATAGCCCACGTGAATAATGCATTGTTATTGAGTATGCTGACATGCCTAATTAGGGTGAATGCACCCTAATTAGAGCTTTAATTAATGGATAAAACGTGGCCAAATTTGAAGTTGGTTTCAAGCAATGATAATAAGGCTGTTTAGGTAATCCAATTAATGCAATGGCTCCAAATAGAATAGGGGCTTTTCTTCCATATTTTCGAAGTACTAAGATTCTGAGTAGGGTGGTTTGTTTAAGTGCTAATTGCTACTAGCTACAAGTCCAATGATAATGTCTCCATAATCAAATATGCCACGTGATTAATTTAATTACGACACATGGTTAAAATCAGACTCAGCCTTCCTTTTTTTGGAGCCCTTAATTGACTATACAATACATGGATTTTGTGATTCTTAACCACCACACTCCAAAAATAATAATAATAAAGCTTTTTGTGATATGTTTTAATGAGTTTCCTTGCAAGAATGGTACTAATGTTCAATTTAAAATTCATAAAAAAGTAGTGCCACCGTCCTCAACATAGCATAATCTATGGTGCAAGGCAATGTTATGATATGGACTTATTTATAGTTTAAACTTGAGAGTGGAATTCCACTTCAATTTTTGAATAATTTATAAGTTCCTAACTGTTGAACGCATTGTGATGATTCAAAAGCAATCTTTTTTAAGATGGTTTGCTCCATATATAGGCCCTATATATGATTTAACACAAGGACAAAGCATCCCTAATATATGAACACTTGTTCATTACATTAGGGAGAGGGTTCAGAGTTATGCTTTATATTTAGTTTTATGTTTTGTCATGAGGCATAAAAATATTAGAGAGCATGATTATGGATTAATATTATAATTGAAGAGAGTGGAGCAGGTAAACAGCAGGAAGCAAGAGGGGTCACAACCTCTTAAGAGGAAATTCAGTTTTGTCCATACTATTTTGAATGCCTTCTTGATTCTTTAATTTAGTAACAACTTTCCATTTAAGGACCGACCATCACAATTATGAGCTTTTTTTTTTCCCTTTTAAAATTAGGATTATATAAATAAGTGTCTTAATCATATTCATTGAAATATTAAAGAAAAAATTTAGTTATTTCAAGAATATATTTTAATTAACTTATTGTGTTTAATAACTTTGAATAAATATATAATTTTATTAATTCTAAGCTATATTGTTTTTGTGATATGATTACCAAAGTTCATATAAATGAAATATTTATAAATATGTAATCTAATTTATGACTAATATTTTTCTTACCTTTTAAAGAAACAT